TAGCTAGGGCATTGCATATATGGAGCGTTTGGAGTTGTAAACATGTGCTTTTAAATGATTGAGATGCATTTGGAAGATGCACTACAAAAAAAGTGTACATTCATAGCATGTCCTAATAGCACGATTTGTCAAACAGCTATTGAAGATAAGGTTGTAATTCCGGTTATCATATTATAGCATTGCATGAACGCTATGTTAGTGTTTTACTAAGCGGGAAGCTAATTACTCTTATTCCGCCAACACTTAGTGAAATTTAGTCATTAAGCGCCATAGACTTGCGATTTTCCCCCTTCTCTATCTTTCGAAAAACCCTCAGAAAAAAAATTACCCAATCTCTCTTTCGAAAAACCCTCAGAAAAAAAAATTACCCAATCGGGAAAACAAATCTCACTACTTTCTGAATCATTCCATCTACAATCGCCGTCGCACTGTAGCTAATCGGAACTGTATCTCCTCAGTTCTTTTCCGACTTCCTATCTGTCGCCATTGGGCTCCAATCAAAGGCATGCATTTCGAAATCTGTTGTTGCTTTTCGTTACTACCTATAAAATTGATTTTGCCTTCGTGATGCTAGCGGAATTATGAGATTTCTGTGTGAATGTAGTACATTGCAGTTGATTGATTATAGGATTTATTTAGCTAATTTGAAAGTGGGTTAAAATCCGATTTCTGTATCAATGAAGCATATTGTAGTTCATTGCATGCCAATGTTATTTGCGAATGCACACTAATTTCCGTGTATGCTGTTTGCTCGATTAGACTTAATGCTAGTTCAACAAGTAGGATGAACAACTTTTGTCTTCCGATGTCTAGATTCACAAGATGATGTGGCTGTTTATGTCTTTCACTTGTCGTTTATTTGTTGACTGCTGCTAGAAACTACATATAGTGTCTGCAATCACTGTTTTTCTGGTTTTCTGATTATTGATATACCGGTTTTACATTTGCCCTGACAATGAAATGTTGATATTGTTTGATTTGGTCGTTATTAGAACCTGTGATCCGAGTATATTTGTCTGAATTTTGACTGATTTTTGTGATGCGTTGCACTGATGGATTAGACCTGATATGCTGCTTAATGTGTAAAGGGCTAACATTACGGTAGAACTTAGAATGGTGGACAAGGCTTGGGTTCATCTTTGCAGGTACATTGGTAAATTGTATAGGTTAGGTTTCAGGTGAGTCTAGAGTCTTTACTGTGTTTTTTTTGTTCTTTCATTTCTGCGACGAAGAGCTGATCCTGGTTATGAGAAAGGGGCGTCAGAGTTTGTTAGAGATGTGGCTGCGGCTCTGGGAGACGTTGATATGATCGTGTGTCCTTGCATCGACTGTCGTAACATAGATCGTCATTATAGCAATGTTGTAGTTGATCATCTTGTTACAAGGGGAATGGATGAGGCGTATAAGAGAAGGTCTGATTGGTATCATCATGGAGAACTGAATTATGGTGTAGAAGGTGAAACAAAATCAAGTCAGCGGAATGATGAGATTGTCGGTCTGTATAAAGCTGCTGGATTCTTGGATGAAGGGTTTGGGGCTACTGCTGACTTTGGTGAGATTGCATAGGGAGAAGACAAGAAAGAAGATGAGTTCCTTGCCAAAATTGCTGATGCTGAAACACCACTGTATCCAACTTGTGTCAACCACAGCAAGCTTTCTGCGATTGTATCCTTGTTCAGACTGAAGACACAGAACGGCTGGTCAGACAAGAGTTTTAATGATCTTCTCGAGACTTTGCCAGGGATGTTACCAGCGGATAATGTCTTACACACATCACTTTATGAGGTCAAGAAATTTCTGAAATCATTTGATATGGGTTACGAGAAGATCCATGCCTGTGTCAACGACTGCTGCTTGTTCAGAAAGAAGTACAAGAAGCTTGAGAATTGTCCAAAATGTAAGGTTTCCCGGTGGAAGACAAACATTCACACTGGTGAAGTGAAACAAGATGTGCCACAGAAAGTTTTACGCTATTTTCCAATAATCCCAAGACTGAAGAGAATGTTTAGATCAGAGGATATGGCTAGAGATCTAAGGTGGCATTTCACTAATAAGAGCATCGACGGCAAACTCAGACACCCGGTGGATTCAGTTACTTGGGATCAGATGAACGCCAAATACCCTTCCTTTGCATCAGAAGAAAGGAACGTGAGGCTTGGACTTTCCACAGATGGCTTTAATCCGTTCAACATGAAGAACAGTATGTATAGCTGCTGGCCTGTTTTGCTTGTCAACTACAACTTACCACCTGATTTATGCATGAAGAAGGAAAACATAATGCTTACATTGTTGATTTCTGGTCCACATCAGCCTGGAAATAGCATTGACGTCTACTTGGAGCCGCTCATAGAGGATCTAAACCACTTGTGGAATAACGGAGAGGTCACATATGACGCCTTTAGTAAGTCTACTTTCACTCTTAAGGCGATGCTACTTTGGACAATAAGTGATTTCCCGGCGTATGGAAATCTTGCAGGCTGCAAAGTGAAAGGTAAAATGGGATGTCCTTTGTGTGGGAAAAATATTGATTGTATGTGGTTGAAGTTCAGCAGGAAGCATGTGTACATGTGTCATAGAAAGCGGCTGCCACCTACACATAGTTTTAGGGGAAAGAAGTCGTGGTTTGATGGCAAAGTGGAACTGGGCAGAAAGGGAAGAATTTTAAGTGGTCGAGAAATATGTCAGAATCTCAGGAATTTCAAGAACGAATTTGGAAACTTGAAACGATCTGGTAGAAAGAGGAAAAAGCCTGTGTGTACATCTGTGGGCTCTGAAGTTGAGGATTTATCCAGTGAGTCAGAGGAAGAAGAAGAGGAAGAATTACAAGTAGATGTGGAGGAGTTACTGCGATGGAAGAAAAAATCAATCTTTTTCAAGTTACCTTATTGGGAGGTAAGTTTACATTGTCATGTTATTAGTTGTTATCAATATACTATCAAGAAGACATGTTTATTAACTCTGGATTTCTTTTTGTTTTTTTCTTTGGTAGGAACTCCCTGTGAGACATAACTTGGACGTAATGCACATTGAGAGGAATGTGGCTGCAAGTATAGTGTCTACATTGTTGCATTGTGGCAAGTCGAAAGATGGTCTTCAGGCTCGTAAAGATTTGGAGGAGTTGGGTATTAGGAAGGATCTACATCCAACCATCAAAGGGAAACGGACGTATCTACCAGCAGCACCTTGGTCTCTTTCCAGGACAGAGAAGAAGATTTTTTGCAGGCGCCTATTAGACTTCAAAGGCCCTGATGGATATTGCTCAGACATTTCAAGAGGTGTGTCATTAGATGAGTGTAAGGTCACTGGCCTGAAATCACATGACTATCACGTCCTAATGCAACAACTTCTTCCAATTGCCCTTAGAGGCTTGCTACCCAAAGGTCCAAGGCTAGCAATTGTACGCTTATGCGCGTTTTTCAACCATCTGTGTCAGCGAGTCATAGATAGAGAACAACTACTGGTAATGGAAGATGAGATTGTTGAGACTCTTTGTATGTTTGAGAGGTTTTTTCCCCCAAGCTTCTTCGATATAATGGTGCATCTGACGGTACATCTAGGAAGGGAAGCACGACTTGGTGGTCCAGTCCATTTTAGGTGGATGTACCCATTTGAAAGGTATAATTTTCATTACATTTGACTTTCCTTGTTGTTATTTGTACAATTTATAACCAGATACTCTTCAAACTTTCAGGTATATGAAAGTTTTGAAGGATTTTTTCAGAAATCCTGCTAGACCAGAGGGATGTATCGCTGAATCTTACCTTGCTGAAGAATGCATCCAGTTTTGTAGTGATTTTCTGAGAAATACTACAAGTGTGCAAGAAAAACTCGATAGAAACACCGAGTACGAGAACGTATCCATTCTGGAGGGTCGTCCAATCTCTGCAGACTCTCGAGTAACTCTGACTGAAATGGAGAAGAACATAGCCCATCTTGTTGTCATCCAAAACATGGCAGTCGTTGAACCTTACGTAGAGTAAGTTTACATTTGCATTTCCTGATCATCTTCTTCTAATGTTTCATAAGCTCAATATCTCATTTTACTTGTTTATTCTTTTGCAAGTGAGCACCTGCAACATCTACAAGATACGAACGGAAGATGTAGACGTGATGCATCCGTACTTTGGAATATGCATACACAGAATTTTGCAACTTGGCTAAAAGAACAGGCTAGTTACAGACCAATTATTTTTCCTTTAATTACCATTTATATATTACGATGTGTGTAATATTTACATATTTATACTTTTGTCAGATCCCTCTTGATTCTGCACGACATGGTGATACACTTAAGTGGTTGGCATATGGACCACGTTGTTCTGCAAGATCGTACACAGGATATATAGTGAGTGGGCAACGGTTTCACACAAATTCAGTAGATAGGAAAAGTCAGAATAGTGGGGTTTTTTATGAGGCAACAACAGTTTGTAGATCTAGTGCGAAAGATACATCGCAGGTGGTTGATTGGGTGTCTTATTATGGCAGAGTAACGGAAATTATTCTGTTGGATTATAATGTATTCTATGTGGCTCTATTCCGGTGTCAGTGGGCAGTTCTGGGAAATGGAGTTAAGAAAGAAGATGGTTTCACACTTGTTAATCTGCATCACAATCAGACTTCTTTCTTACGAGACCCATACATTTTAGCCTCACAAGCGAAGCAGGTTTTTTACTCTAGGGAAGATGAGTCATCAAGTTGGTATGTGGTTATGAGAGGGCCTTGTAGAAGATACAGTAAGGAAGAAGTCCAAGAAGGAAATGCAGACATTGGGCCATTGCCATCTACTGTTGTCATGGATGTTGATATGGATGAGTCTGAGAATTCACAAACTGATTGTGAAGGCATATATGTTTGAAATGTAGCTTTTTAATCACTAGTACTCGTTGATGCATCTGCTGTTTCTATTGTGTGGTTTATCGTTTTGATTGTGTGCTTTTTTCTTTTTAAATGATATGCGTGACTTACTTTTTTTTATTATTGATTGTTTCAAATAGTTTAAAATGGCTCGGACCAAGCGAGGAAGGAAAACACATAAGAAAATCACGCAAGTTACTACTGAGGTGGTGGAAGATCATCCGGAGTTAGGAGACAATGGACCTGTGGAAAACCAGCTGGAGTTAGGAGATGATGGACCTGTTGAAAACCGGCCGGAGTTAGGAGATGATGGACCTATGGAGGAGCAGACGGAAGTAGGAGGTGATGGACCTTTGGCAGATGAACTTGATCGTGAAGAGGAGGAAGAACATGAAGGTGAAATTTTGTTATCAGAACATGATGACTCTGCAGCTGAACCTAGACGTAAGAGACAGCGAGGTCCGACTATGATGAAAAACATAGCCAAGGATCCAAATAACAAACTGCGAGTACAGTACACTTTCACAGGTGAACCATATGGTTATGGATCAGTAAAATTGTCTTCATACTTAGGTCCACTGGTCCGAGAACATGTTCCTGTGACACTTACAAGCTGGACAAAACTTAGTGAAGCTCTGAAGACACTTCTCTGGAAATCTGTGCAGGTAACAGGATTCTTGAATAAGTTGACTAATGATTTTCCATTTCTTTTGGCTTTTAATGTTTGCTTACTAAATTGAATCAGGCAAGATTTGAACTAGATGAAGATTATCAACGGAAATCGGTGCTGAAGCAGTTGGGATGTCTGTGGAGGTCATCAAAATCACGCCTTGTTACTCAAATCCTTGAAGCGACGAATAATCAACAGAGGATGAATCTAAGACCAAAGAATGTTTCTCCAATAGATTGGCGCAAGTTTGTCAAGCTCAAAACCAGTCAAGAATTCAAGGTATGATTAAGAGGAATCAAAATTGTGCTGATATCATATATGTAGCGGATTATAATTATCATTCATTTGCTAGGCTGTTAGTGATAGCTACAAGGAAAGAAGGCGTAAACAGATTCCTCACACTTGTAGTCGCAAGGAAATGGTTAGACTTGCAGAGGAAATGGTTAGTCCACTCTTAACTTGTTAAATTATAAGTTGAGTCAACTGTAACATTTTTTAATCGTTTTCTTTTTCAAAGAAATCTGTTAGTGGAAACCCCGATGAAGTGACACGCTTGAAGGTGTGGGTGAAGTCGCGTACCAGAAAAGATGGAACACCGGTGAACACAAATGCTGCTGACAAGATGGTGAGAATATTTGATACTATTACCAATATAGCTGATTTCTGATATGTGACCATTTGAAGTCAATATTTTGCAATAAACAGAAGAAGGCAGCTGAGTTGGCTCACAAAGAGACTCCAGATTCTGCAATGAATGAAGGAGAAGATACACTTACCCAACTGTTAGGACCTGATAATCCTGGCAGAATGAGGGTCTTGGGTAGGAACATGACTAAGACGAAATTAGCTGCTTTCGAAGTTAAACACAAATGTATGACTGAGATGCAAGAGAAACAGTTTCATCTCCTGCAGAAAGTGAATGAGTTGCAAGATGAAATTGCAATTCTGAAAAAACAGGTTAGTAACAGAAGATATTTGTAGGTCTAGTGATTACAATTTTGGTATAGTTACTTATTAGGTAATGTTTCCTTGCAGCGACAAGAACCAGAAGTTGGTGAAAATTCGGCTGTAAAAGTAAGTCCTGATTCTTAGACTGTTGAATTATTTGTTCATTCATATACAGCGAGTAAATTCTGACATATGATTTCTGCTTGTACTCTTTAGAGTGTCAACAAAAGATTACAACCCAAGTGTGTTCTGGTTGACTGGGCTGGAACAAATGAAAACGTTGCTGAGGGAAGAATTATTTCTTCTGAACCAGATGACTTGGTGAATGACACTCGTTTAGGTCCCACGGATGTGAAAGTACTAGTTGATTCTGTAACTGTTCCAGATGCATTTCTTTGGAGACCGGCAAGTAACATGTTCACAATGGTTGAAGCTGTAGGACAAATGATTGCATGGCCTGCCTCAAAGTGTGTTGATCTAGAACCAGTGACAGAAGCAGTCGACATTACACCACTGGTATAAGTTCAGTCACTCTCAAAATTCATCTTACTGATCAATGAGATTATGTTTATGATGGTAAAATAGTATAGTAAGACTATGTAATTGCACATTGCGTTTGAAAGGGCCAAAGAGCGACCTCAATAAACAAATGCAAACTACTTGATTTGTCTTCAGATGATGTTGTTGTTGCTGAAGGACGCTGGCAGACAGAAGAACCAAAAGCATTGGTTAATGGTTTACCTCTTGGGCCAAAAGCTGTTAAAGTGTTCATTGATCAAGTGCATCAGCCTGAGACATTTATATGGAGGCCTACGATAGAAACAACATACCTTGAGGACTGTCTACTGTCTTTTGTAGCATGGCCTGCCTGCAAAGTTGTCTTCGAGAACAGAGGAGAGGTTGGAACAGGGCATAAATTTCCGTTTGACAACTCTGTTTCAACTGATCAAGCTTTGGGAGGTAAATCAGTGGGCACTGATTCACGTTCTGTGGAGAAGTCATTTAGATCTGATGCAACTGGTTCAAAGTCAGCGGCCAGAGTTTCAAAAACAGCTAGTCAGAAATCTCCAGAAACAAATCCGGTAAATGCCTTTTAGAGTTGTTTAAATTTTGCTTGTCTATACCATTTTATCATAAAATGGTTGATACTAAGAACATGGCAACTTCAACAGGGAGCAGAGGTTATCAAAGAAAATCAGAAGTGCAAGCTGATGGATATTGGTGGAAGGAAGCTGGTTGTTGCTGAAGGTCGTGTGCATTCGATCAACCCAGATCAAATGGTACACTTTGTTAGATTGGGGTCTGATGCAGCAAGATTTGGGTGGACATAGTCAATGTCGATGATGCAGCGGTTTGGAAGCCATCAGATGAAATAGAAACTCTGAAAGATGCGCACGGTTCATCAATCGCATGGCCGATGGATAAATTGGTCATCTTTTGAGATTGAGCAGCACCAGGTATGTTATGTGGTCTGTGTTTATTGTTTCTGCGTCTCTTTTCTCTTGAGCAAGTGTATATGGTAAACTGATCAAAGACATGCATTACTGTTTGTTGTAGGGGGATGAAGCAAGTTTGGTCCAGATTGGCTAGTTTTAACTTGTTTAAGACTAGACTAATCTAAAAGTTTGACTTGTGTTATGTGTTTGGCAGTTAGACTTATGTGTACTTGTTTGAATGAATATTCACACTTATGTGTGTGTGTTGGATTGTATTCAGATTGTTGCATTGCTTTTTTAAATGGAATACATTTATGGAAAACAAGATCATATGATAGCTATTACGAAATGCATATAACAGCATAAAAAAGAAAAACCAAATCGTAATTAATAGCAATAAAAAGGAGCCACTAATTACTGTATTATAGCAGATCTCAAAACTACGCATAGCATTGCTGAAAAGCTATAGTATACGACATGTTTTATAGCAACGAATATGATTGCTATTGTATAACAATCCACCATAGCCAAAAATAAAATTGCTATTGTATGGGGCTCTACCACAGCACGTAATATGAGTTGTAATCGGATTATTTGTAGCTTTAAAATTTTGCTATGATACCTGAATCTATCGTAGCTTTCTGAAAAATGCTATCGTATGGGTACCACCTAACATAGCTGCCGATGTCATAGAATATGTGAAAACGCTATCTAATCCATATGATGGCAAATTTGTCGTGCTGACAATGTAGATATTTCTTGTAGTGATGAGAGAGTTTGAAAGGGACGAGCTGGAACCAAAAAGGATGGAAGTAAGGAGAGTTCCTCTGTTTTTCCAGCGAAAACCAGGATGTTAATCATGTTTCTCTTCCAGGACAACTTGATTGCCTTCTGTTGACCAGACCTACATGCGTTGACCAAGTTTGACCGTGTTGACCGTGCTTTGACTGAATTTTGACCACGCCTTAGCTGTCACAAACTAATGCTAAACCACTAAAAAGGAGGCCCAATCCATTTGGAAGACCTAGACAAAAGAAAAGTTAAGATTAATGAGTTGACCAAAGAGTTTTATGTCTCTAATAGATTTACTCTAAAGACCTAATTTATTAGGCATCTTGTAATCTCTTTCTCTTAGACTAAAAACTGTTTCCCTTTTTTTTCATAACCAAAATTTGGATCTATTAATAGTTTAATCTAATTGAGATTTTTTGCTTGATCAATTTTTCTCCCTTCATCTTCCTAATCATGATTACCAACTCCCTCTTTTTTTAAGGTTGAAGGATAGATTAGTTTTAGAGAGACTTAATGATTGATTTATGATGTTTAGGCTTAGATTTGCTTTATCCTTTCTTGTTTAGGGATCTTAATGCTAGATTAGCTTTGAGAAAAGTGATTTAGAGCAAAGGACATTTCCCAATGTTTGATGAAATGTCCCAACCAACTAAATCAAGAGATTTTCATGCTTCACCTAGGGGATCAGATGTTCAAGATGTTTATTGGCTTGATAGAACTTGTTTATAATGCTTGCTAATTTGGAATTTCACTAATGATGATTAGTTTTTGAGATTGGTAATTAGCAAAGTGATTAGTGCCATGAAAATGGATTAGTCTTGTTTAATGTGTTCTTTGCTAAGGATTAGCATTCACTTGACTGTTTAAGCATCATATATTAGTCATAGAGTCTCTTTAGTTCAATGACCCCATCCTAAGACCCATTTACTTATCTTGTTTCACATGTTTCATTTTCGTTTTTGTACTTATCTCTTGATTTCCACTTCTTGTTTTAAGCTTTTGCCTTAAATTTTATGTTTGATTTTCATTTAGGTTATTAGATAAAAACCCCGCTTTTATTTGGCTTAGCTTATTAAAGGCGGCGTAATTGGCAAAGTGGAAAAGGGAGGAGTAATTGACAGCAGTTGTAGCGGGAGCTGAGAGCTGAGAGCAGGAGTCGAAAGCTGAGAGTTGGAGGAGATAGATGAGAGTAGAAGCAGAGAGTAGACTCCAAGCGTGGCAAGCCTGCATCTATGAAATATGGGGAAAGAGGAACCGTAGGTTTCACCATGGAGTTACATTTCCGGTCAGGAAGATTGTTCGACTCATCCTCACCGTCGTGCGGGATCGAACTCAGAGTCTCGTGCTTCAGAACCCAAAAAGGCTGGATCTTTTAGCTTGTTGGTCCTAATTTCGTGGGGGTCTTTCTCTTTTTCTTTTGAGCTTAGTCTCTTCTTTATTTTTATGTATCTCTAGATGAGTGGTTTCATGTGGTTTCTTTGTAAACTTTATTCTAATATTCAAGCAAGCCCATTATCAAAAAAAGTAGGGTCTGTTTTTCTATTTTCTTCTTTTTTTATAACAAAATAAAGATATATATTATTTGAAATTAATAACTTAAAACAAACCATTATAAAATAACAATTAAAATTAATTTATTACTAAAAATGAACAATCTGAAAAAAAAATAGTAATGAAATTTTATAAAAGTTCAAGAACTCATTTGTGAAAGTGATGATTCCTAATGTGGAGATGCTAAATTTATAAAGACTAGGGCTAAGCCCGTGCGATGCGCGGGTTATGTGTATTATAAATATATTGCTACTTATATTAAAAAAATATTACATTTATTCTATGTTTATATTATTCCTTTAAAACACAATCCATATAAAATTTGGTTTCTATGTTTATTCAAAGTTTGTTGTTAAATTTAGATGAAAGAATTTGTAATATAAAAGATATTATTATTATTATTATTATTATTATTATTATTATTATTATTATTATTATTATTTTGAAATTTTGTTTAACACTATCTTATCGGAACATAATTTATTTGCATATATAAGCATTTGTGATCTTCAGATTTTCAACTTGAGACTTTGGGATAAGACAAGATATTTTCTTTAGCTTCCTCAATGATGTAAATGCAATGTACGTATGTAACTAACCTCAAGATCAAAACTCTTGACGCATGTGAAGCTATGCAGAAGCTACTTGGGCCACTGTGTGGATCTGGTCACAATGGTCCGCTGAGAGAAAGATAAGCATCAGGTAAATAACGTGGGAAAGACAGAAGCATCTCTTGTGAGCCGTGACCCGAGAATGTGACCTTCTCAAGATTTGTAGCTAATAGACTGATCGTACACACTACACGATGATTCGGTACGTGGTACCAAAAGCTAAAAGACCTTCTCAAGATTTGACGCTTTCAAGCTGGTACCAAGTGATGACAAGTTTCTCAAGATTTCAGTCTATAACCTTTGATAACCACGAGAGGAGAGGATCAGTCTCATCGTAAGAGTTAACAGAATTTAGATGGAAACTGCTGATTTCCGGACTTTCAATGTCACGAATCACACGGTCAACGAATTGTACGGCTGTACAAATCCATAATCTCTCAGTTCCTTATGACTTACATATTCAAAGTGTACGGCTGTGACGTTGGTCCACATTTTCATCCATGCCTTTGATAACACATAAGTCCTAACAGCTTCCACAGTTGAGAAGGCTCTTAGGGAAATCGCTAAAGTTATCATTAAGGCTCTCATGCATTGATTATATTTCCCTGATACAGCCGAAAACAGAAAAATCAAAGAGAAGTGCAAAAAAAAAGAACGTTAATTCATAGTGAAAAGAAATAGAAATATATAGGTGAAACCAATGTAAAAGCATGCAAAGAAAATATTCAAGAATCAGGAAAAGATAAGAGAACAACGTAAGGAGTCTTTAAACCGGCATGAAGTTGTCTCATTTTTCCACAGCTCTTTCTGAAGATTCCATCTGCTTCGACTGATCTTGGTGTTTCCTATTCCGTTTTTCTACCTTCCTCTTCCCAGGTTTCTTCCCATGGAATCCGTGACACAGTAACCGAAACGCTTCTCTCTAAGTCAACATCCTGCCATGCTCATCCACTCTCTCAATCCGAATGTCCTTAAAAGCATCTCTGAATCTGTCATCTCCATAATTGTCCGTAACACCTCCTACAACAAGCTTGCCTTTCTTCTCCTTGAAAGTTCCTTGCTCTCTGAGACGCTTTAATGCGCCTGATAAACCTGTACCAACCTCAACCTCACGCATCACTCAATCTCTAACATCATCAATTGCCTCATCTTCATCAATGGAACAAACCTTGTGAAACACGTCTCTTCGTCTCTCTGATGATTCAATTTTGCTTTGATCCTCATCTCTTGAGGAACCGAGATCATGGTCAGCTTCCACCGACCTTGAAGCAAGAGCTTCGTTTTTTGGAGCGATATTTACTACCAATTTCTTGTTCTTCCTCATCGAATTCTTCTTCATAGCAATATTGAGCTGAGACATTCGTATGGAAATCCCCGCTGATGAGATCGAGAACCCCAAAAAATTGTGAAATAAGAAGGACAAATCCAAACGCTGAATCATATTATACATAGCTCTGCTCCACGACCTCCATTACTTTCCTGTTATACTCTCGCTTGTTCTCACTGAACAACCTTGCAGCCTCCGAGTTTGCTGGCGAATTAGGGTTTGGGTCACAAAGCAGAGACTGTATTGCACAAACACCAAAACAAAATGAAAGTCTTGGAGTTAGTTTGTGCATAGCATAGCATAACCCTACAATGCAAAAAGATTCAGAAGTCAAAACAAAACCTGTATCGACGTGAGAATTGCAGCAACGTCGTATATTGGGCTCCATTGGTTTTGTAAGATATCCAAGCAAATGCTTCCATCAGCGTAAACTGCATCAAAACTTCAAATATCAAACCCGAAACTACTCGTGTAAAGGTCTTTGACTATGTTGTCCATTGAATGATTGTTGAGCTTACTGTTTGGATGAAACATCCTTGAAACAAACCGGACTACTGGAAGTTTGTTTGGATAGTCCTCGGTGAACTGAATAGTCAACTTGAAAGTACCTGACAAGTTACAAATTTGGGTTTAGTTTAGCTATTAGTTTTGAACTCATAAGCTAAAATAAGTATAGAAAGATCTTACCTCCATCCCATGGACTGTCGTCAGGTCTGCAAAGGAAAAGACAGTGAAATTTAGTTTACGCAGCCAAGACAAACAAAAACACAGAAACATACACAAAAATGGTTCAAGATTCGTACCCAAAGATGAGAGCATTCCAATGCATGATATTGTAATCTTGTGGAGCTCCACTTATCCCAACGGGTGGGTCTTTCTGCAGTCTCTTGAAGTCCCACATTAGTCTCTTTCTTGCAGGAGTTGCCATTCTCGTTGGAAATTCACAGACTGCATCGAAGTTAAAACTCTTATGATTCTTCTCACAAGTATGATACGAAGTAATAACATTTCTCATGAATGATACAAGCAAAATCAAGTAACATGAAAATGAAACACAAAACCAAGTGTTCAGACAAAGAAGTAGAAACAAAAATAAAAATACTTGCAGTGTTTGAGCCAACAAATGAAACAGCCCTTATATCCTCGTGATCACAGATAGCATTCACCGTATCCTGGAATGTAAAGATGCAGTTATATTAACGACAAAGAACGAAAAGGTAATAGTGCAGACTTAAGGGCCATAACCGCTGTAACATCCCGGTTTGTGATAAATGGGAGAGGCTTAAGAGAATTGATTTGGCTACCTATGTCAACAAAATGCACTTACCTTTTCGGTCAAAGGTCTATAAGTAACTCCAGAGTTAAGCGTGCTTGGGCTGGAGTAGTTGAAGGATGGGTGACCTTCCGGGAAGTGGTTTCCGAAACCGTGTGAGTGAGGCCAAAACACGGGAAAGGTCGAGTGTTGATTGCAGGGATAGTAAACAAGTCATTAGAGCAGTCTTTGAGCAGGATGCGGGGAGGTTGGTTTATCAGGGAGTGAGACCGACTTCCGGGAGTATTGTGATATCTGCTATTCAGGCCGAGCAGTTGTTAGAGCGGGGCTGTGAGGCGTATCTGGCGACGATTTCTATGTCTGAGTCAGGAGCTGGAGTTGTTATGGGAGATATTGAGGTTGTCCAGGATTTTGAGGATGTCTTTCAGTCACTGAAGGGATTACCACCATCTCGGTCTGATCCTTTCACGATTGAGTTAGAGCCGGGGACAGCACCGATATCGAAGACGCCTTACAGGATGGCGCCAGCTGAGTTGGCAGAGCTGAAGAAGCAGATAGAGGACCTTTTGTCTAAGGGGTTCATTCGACCAAGTGTTTCACCGTGGGGAGCACCGGTGTTGTTTGTGAAGAAGAAGGATGGCAGTTTCAGACTTTGTATCGATTACAGAGGTCTTAACCGAGTCACTGTGAAGAACAGGTACCCACTCCCGAGGATTGATGAGTTGTTGGATCAGTTGAGGGGTGCTACTTGGTTCTCCAAGATTGACTTGGCATCGGGGTATCATCAGATCCCGATAGATGAGGCAGATGTCAGGAAGACTGCTTTCAGGACGCGTTATGGGCATTTTGAGTTTGTGGTTATGCCTTTCGGTTTGACTAACGCGCCGGCAGCCTTCATGAGATTGATGAACGACGTGTTCAGGGAGTATTTGGACGTGTTCGTCATCATTTTCATTGATGATATTCTGGTATACTCGAGGAGTCAGGAGGAGCATGCGACTCACTTGAGGTTGGTTCTGGAGAAGCTTCGGGAGCAGAAGCTTTTTGCTAAGTTGAGCAAGTGCAGTTTCTGGCAGCGAGAGATGGGATTTCTTGGCCACATTGTTTCTGCAGAGGGAGTTTCTGTGGATCCGGCTAAGATTGAGGCTATCAGAGATTGGCCTAGACCTAGTAGTGCCACCGAGATCAGGAGTTTTCTGGGTTTGGCAGGATACTACAGGAGGTTCGTCAAGGGGTTTGCTACCATGGCGCAGCCGATGACGAAGTTGACCGGGAAGGATGTCCCGTTTGTTTGGTCAGCTGAGTGTGAGGAGAGCTTTAGTCAGCTCAAGGAGATGTTGACTACTACACCAGTGTTGGCGTTACCCGAGCCAGGGAAGCCTTACATGGTGTATACAGATGCTTCAGGCATTGGTCTTGGTTGTGTGCTGATGCAGGAGGGCAGAGTGATAGCATATGCTTCGAGACAGTGGCAGGGCAGTGAGCGTAACCGTCCTACACATGACTTAGAGTTGGGAGCAGTGATCTTCGCGTTGAAGATTTGGAGGTCTTACTTGCTGGGTGAGACAGTACAGGTCTTCACAGATCACAAGAGTTTGCAGCATATCTTCACTCAGCCGATGATGAACGCGAGACAGACGCGCTGGGTTGAGTTCTTGGCGGATATCAGGTGAGCATTAACTACCATCCGGGCAAGGCTAACCTAGTGGCGGACGCGTTGAGTAGACGGAGGTATGATTCCGCAGTTGAGCGAGATGTGGAGTCTCTAGTTGGCGAGATCAGTACCTTGCGTTTGTGTGCCATTTCGCAGGAGCCTTTGGGTTTAGAGGCAGTGGATCAGGCGGATCTACTTAGCAGGATCAGAGTTGCTCAGCAGAGTGATCAGAGTTTGCTGGATGCGACTAGAGTGACTGGTTCTGAGTATGAGGTCTCTGCGAATGGGACTATCTTGGTTCGTGGGCGAGTTTGTGTGCCTAAGGATGTGGAGTTGAGACATCAGATTTTGGGAGAGGCTCATGCGAGCAAGTTTTCCATTCATCCAGGGAGCGACCAAGATGTACCATGACCTCAAGAGGTACTATCATTGGGTCGGGATGAAGAGGGATGTAGCAGACTGGGTTGCGAAGTGCAACACTTGTGCCTTGGTGAAGGCAGAGCATCAGGTTCCGGGTGGTCTTTTGCAGAGTTTACCCATTCCAGAGTGGAAGTGGGACAGGATTACGATGGATTTCGTGGTTGGACTACCTGTTTCGAGGACTTTCGATGCTATCTGGGTGATTGTGGATCGGTTGACTAAGTCCGCACATTTCTTGGCCATCAAGAAGACAGATGGAGCTGCTGTCTTGGCTAGGAAGTTTGTGCGAGAGATTGTGAGGCTGCATGGAGTGCCAGCTAGTATTGTGTCAGACCGTGATCCCAGATTCACTTCAGAGTTTTGGAGAGCGTTTCAGGCAGAGATGGGCACTAAGGTGCATTGAGTACAGCTTATCATCCGCAGACAGATGGTCAGTCAGAGAGGACTATTCAGACTTTGGAGGATTTGCTGAGGATGTGTGTGTTGGATTGGGGTGGCCATTGGGCAGATCACCTGAGCTTAGTTGAGTTTGCATACAACAACAGCTTTCAGGCGAGTATTGGCATGGCTCCATTTGAGGCTTTGTATGGGAGGCCATGTAGGACACCCCTATGCTGGACCCAAGTGGGGGAGCGCAGCATGTATGGAGCTACTTATGTTCAGGAGACGACAGAGAAGGTTCGTGTTGTGAGGCTGAACATGAAGGAGGCTCAGGATAGGCAGAAGAGTTATGCAGATAGACGCAGACGAGAGCTTGAGTTTCAGGTTGGAGATAGAGTTTATCTCAAGATGGCTATGTTGAGGGGTCCTAACAGATCCATAGCAGAGAACAAGCTGAGTCCGCGATTTATGGGTCCGTTTCCAGTAGTGGAGCGAGTTGGGCCATTGGCTTACAGGCTGGAGTTGCCTGAGATTATGAAAGCCTTTCACAAGGTTTTTCATGTGTCGATGCTGAGGAAGTGTCTTCACCCTACAGAGGAGTTAGTGGCTAGGATTCCAGAGGATCTTCAGCCAGATTTGACAGTGCCGGCAGTGCCTGTGAGGATTTTAGAGAGGAGGGAAAAGGTTCTGAGGAACAAGAGGATTCCCTTACTGAGGATTTTGTGGGATTGCAGTGGTTCTACAGAGGAGACTTGGGAGCCAGAGGCAAAGATGAAGTTGAAGTTCAGGAAGTGGTTCGACAAGCAGGTCGAGGAGTGAGCTTATTTCATCTTTGTAGCCTCAGTTGTTATTTTTGGCTTTGGTGTTATTGTATTTTCGTTTTCGTTGTAACGATATACATTTTGGAGTTTTAATGAGATGCAGTTTTTCCTCATTTTGCCTTGTGTTGTGAAATGGTATTCGGATGTTACACATGTTTGACCAGTTTTTGGTTGTGAGACGGTCTAATCTTATGGTTATAGACATTTTCCGGAATTTTTACTCTAAGGATTGCGATCCTGAATAACTCATCATGTTTTTGGAGACTTCGTTCTCTGGGTGCAAGTAGGCCTCAGTTGAGTGTAGCTTATCTGGGTGCAAGTAGGCCTCAGTATAAGCAGTTTAGTTCATCTGGGTGCAAGTGGGCCTCAGTATGGACGTTTCGGGTTCGTCTGGGTGCAAGTGGGCCTCAGTGCGGACCGGTGTGGACTTGTCTGGGTGCAAGTGGGCCTCAGTACAAGTGGTTTGTGTGTTTGGATGATGAGTTAGGAGTGAAAATTTTCTTGGAACGTGCTTATGACATAGGATTTGACGTATGTCTCGGGGATCAGGTGAGGATCTCCAGTGTTGCGGCCTTGCGAGGTCGGGTTTTTGTGGTCTTTGTGACGTTTGGTTGGGATTCGAGGACGAATCCAGTTTAGTGGGGGAGAGTTGTAACATCCGTAGCCTTTCTGGTGAGTTTTGGAAGTTGCGTCGGGCGACGCAAGGATTTCAAAATCAGACCCGGTTTGATTTAAGTGGTCCGGTTTAGCTGGTTTGGGCAGAAAAGCCCTAGAACTCGAATTAAAAGGTGCAGCCGCCTCCTTTTTGCACAGTTTTCGAGGCAGAGAGTTCTGGAGAGGAGAAGAGGCGATTTTGTGGAGGAAATCCGAGTTTTAGTGGCAGATCGAAGTGCCGTTCGTTGTTCCTTGCTGTTTCCATTGTTTTTCTCCTTCAAATCCGTTTTCAAGGTGAGTGCATGACTGTAGGTCCGCAAATCACTAGATCTGGATTGATGAATGTTGTTCTTGAGGTGTTCTTATGATATAAGGTTTATGTGATGATGTTTGGTTGATTCTGTGTTAATTTGGTGTTTCTGCGTATTTTGTTGATATCTTGTCGACCTGACGGACATGCGTCGGGCGACGCAAAGCTTGCGTCGGTCGACGCAGCCGGTTCTGTCTGGTTCAATTGGAAATTGATTTCTGGTTAAAATCTGGTTAAATCGTTTAATTCGAATTTAATTAATTAAATGATATTTAATTGATTAAGAGGCTTAAAATAATTATTTAAATTATTTTAAAATATGGAAAATTATTATTTAATTATGAGAATTATTTAATAATTGAGAAATGGTGTTTTAATTATTAATAATTATTTAATAATTGGAAAATGGTATTTAATAATTATTGGAGTTTATAAATATTATTAAATATCTAGTAAATTGCGTAATTGGCCTGTAGGCAGAGTGATTGCCTCACTAAGTATTTATTAAATACTTACGCAACTCCATTCCAATGTGTTGCAGGTAAAAGATTTGTGTGATGATATATCCATAATTTACATGATTTTACTTAGTATTTTCATGTGTTTTTAAGCACTTTCATAAAGGTTTTATGCCTTTGGAGGTAGTTTTCTTGTATTTGTTGGTTTTAGAGTCTTAACAGGGTAAACTATCAAAAAGGATGCAAAAAGGAGCAAAAGAGCCTCAAGCCATGATCCATGCAAGTTTCCAAGTCAAGAGCATCATTTTATCTCCAAGTGTTAGTTCTCGCTAGGCGAGCAGAACGAAGCTTCGGAAGTTTGGCCGCGCGAAGAGGAGTTCCCGACGTCCAAAAGTCACGATCTTGATATGGAAAGATAGATACTTGAGTCATGCATCACGTCGAAGTGGAATGAAGCCATTTGGATCAACCATAGGCCGGAACTTATTTTCTACCGAGACATGTCCGGTAGCGAGCAAACGAAGCCCATGGAGGATTTGGAGTGTCTAATGGCCCGAGCAGCAGCGCCAAAGGCCTTGATTGAATAAAGAAGAGGCCTGGCTAATGTTTGGAGCTTTCCTTGGTACAATGTCGGCCCATACACGACGTGGAGAAGAAGGCTTGGCTCATGGAAACTTTCCTTTTCCGGCACTTCAATACCCTAACCGACCTACAACCTATATATGCAAGTTTTTAGCCTCTGGAGAAAGGAGAAGCGTGTGCGCCGTCAGAGAGAAGAGAGAGCCGTCCTGGAGAGCAGAAGAGAGCAGAGAGAAGAGGCGTTTCTCAAGATCAAAGACACACACACACAAACCTTTACACTTTGTTCTTTCTTTTTCTCTTACTTTGTTATTTCGGATTAAGAGTTTCAAGGGAGATTTCGACTTGTTCTTCAATAGAGAAGCTTTCTTCATCCCTTATCTCTTTTAATACTCACATAATGCTTTCATACATCTCTTGCTTGTTTGTTTGCATCATGGCTGAGTAGTCTTATTGTTGGGTTCAAGAGTTTTCAAGGGATTCATGGATTGATCACTAGGTTGTTAGATTCGGGATTATTGATTGAGTTCCTCATCTTGATTTGTGCTTAATGCTTATAGCTTTGACTGAACGTCCTGCTACTGCCCTAGAGTTGATTTACTTTCCGAAAGCTTGATAAATCACTTGAAATAATCTTGATGAACAAATCACCATAACCTGCGGGAGTAGAATTATGATGCTTTGTGGAACATACTGAATTTGGATTGTTGTGCTTGTTTAACCAATTGATTACCTATGGGAGTAGAGTAATCTTAGGTTGTTTAGACATATTAATTGACCTTGCGGGAGTAAGTTGATTATCAATTCATAATTCAAGTTCTTGACCATATCTATTGATTCCTTGTTTAACTATCCAACTAAACCAATCCTTGATGACCTATGAATTCTCTTGTGCCCAATGCTTTCCCTATTGATTTGATTGCTTGTTTCACTTGATTTCAAGCTTACTCATTGTTATTTTCGTCACTGTTCACGGCCCTAAAACCAAACCCCCATATTTTAGTTTTAGCTAAGTTTTAATCTCATAAGCTCATAGTGCAACTTTTCTGGTCCTTGTGTTCGATAACCCATACTACCAACGATCCGTGCACTTGCGGTATCTACTAATAGTTGGGTAAAACTTATCCCACATCACATAGAAGATGGAGCCTCAAAACCGCCCAATCAGAGATTTTGATTCACTAGACATCTTCTTCACAAAACGCCAACCTATATGCCCTTTACCACCTACTGGAGAGTTCAAGATAAGCTCTAAACTCATTGCTTTGGTGGAGCAGCATCAGTTTCGTGGCCTAGAGGAAGAGCAGCCCATTGATCATATTGAGAAGTTTGAAGAAATCTGCGCTACAAGGAGATGTAGTGGAGTTTCTGAGGATTACTTGAAGTGTACTTTATTCTCTTTCTCTTTGGTTGAGAAGGCATACAAATGGATGAGGGCTCTTCCAGCAGGATCAATCACTACTTGGGATGAGTACAAGAGAGCTTTCTTGAAGAATTTCTACCCAAAAGAGAGATTAAAATGGATGAGAAGAAGAATCTCAGAATTTCGACATGAAGCACATGAATCATTCTTTGAGGCTGTTTCACGGTTCAAGGAGTACAAGAGAGAGTGCCCTCACCATGGTTTTACAGAGATTGCTTTGCTAAACTTCTTCTATCAAGGAGTTGATGAGAAATTCAAGATGGCGCTCAACACAGCAAGTCAAGGGGACTTCATGACTAATACTATTTCAAGCCAACATTCTCATTGATAACTTGGAAGCAAGCAGCAAAAGTTCAAGCCAAGACTATGTGCAAGGCGTGGAGGAGATCAAACCAAAATCTGATTTTTCAGAAATATTTGAGCTAAAGTCATTAGTTGCTCAACTTCTCTGGCAGAAAGGATCATAAAGATCTCATTGGTGAAAGTTCTTCTAAGCATCAAGAAGGAGTGAATTATATTGGTGAGTTTGGAAACATCAATGAAAACCGAAATCACAACGGTTTTAACCATGGAGACCCTCAGCCAAGCATTGGAGATCCTCTTATAGACCAACATCACGTGGTCATGACACCAAGAGGGAGAAACCTTGAAGCTATGATGCAGCAGTTCATGGAGAATCAAGAGCAATTTATTGAAGGAATGAAGCAATGCGCCAAAGATAACAAAAACCTTGGTTTCAAGATGGATAGCATGCACGATCATCTTCAAAGGAGTAACCAGGAGCTGTATGAGAGATTTATCAACCTCTCTAATCATGTTAAGATGCTGGAAGTGCAAGTTTCCCAAATTACAGAAGGATCCAAGAGACAAGCCAATGTTCTTCCAGGAAAAGTGGAGGAGAACCCTAAGTTTTGCAAGGTGATAACAACCAAGAAGAAGGATGCCGTTTCACAAGCCCCTAGAGTTCAATCAACCTCCAAGCATCAAGTGACAAGACGTGAAGATGATGAGCCTATTTCAAAAGCACCACATCAAAGGAGGCTTAAGAAGAGAGAAGATCCAGTGAAGTTTATCTTCCCTTGCACAATCAATGGTATTGACTTTATTGAATCTTTGTGTGATACGGGATCTACAGTGAATCTCATGTCTAAGATCATAGCAAGGAAGCTTGGGATTGTAGAGATGGAACCTCCTGGAAAGATGCTTAAGTTTGCAGATGCTTCTAGCACAACTCCATGTGGCTTTGTGCGTGATCTAGAGATGCAAATAGGTGGATGTCTAGTCCCCACCGATTTCCACATCATAGAAATGCAAGATGAAGCTTCTATGTCTCTGATCCTTGGGACTTCTTTCCTTACAACCGTGGGAGAAATGTTTGATTTTCGCAAGGGACAAGTTTCTTTCTCTGAAATCAAGAAGAAGGTCTTCTATCCTGCCGTTCCTGCTGAAACCTCATGTTGTACAACCATCTACAGTGAGGAGAGAGCAAGTTTAGACCCTGGGGATGACATTAAAAGGTCACAAGATGTTCCTCAAGAAGCTCTCTACATTGGATCTTATGACATTTTCAAGTCAGCCCCAAGTGCAGCCAAGCTCCCACCGGAGGAAGCCACTCTCACGGCCAAGGAAGGAGCCTTGCCGCCTAAAAATCCAAAGAAGAATGAGCACTATCCCAAACCAAAGGAGAGGAAGAAACCATCGGAGCTGAAACATAAAGATGTCTTCAAGGACCTCCACTCGGTTTTGCCTCCCCCCTTTGATGAATATGAAGCTAAGGAGGAGCCTGATGGTTTGCCTAAGTCCCTTACCAAAATACGAATCCTTTTACCTAAGGGTTGTGACCCAAAAGAAGATCCTACCGCAAAGGAGAAGCTAAAGAACACCTTAAGGCTCTTCCCGAGTGCATTTGTCTTCAAAGATGGCATGGGAGATGATATTGGCGTGCCCAAACCACCACATGAGCCCCCTGGACAAGAGAAGGAAGAAGCAAAAGGGATCCTAAACCCCTTAGTTGATGCTCCAACCAACTAAGAAGAGGCATAAAGTCAAGCTAAAGACCTAAAACAAGCGCTTTGTGGGAGGCAACCCACATGGATGAAGAACCAAAAGGAGACCAATACAAGGAAGTGTCCCACCCAATGTTCCCTCCCTTAACCAAGGCGACATCTCCATTTCAGGTAAGTAACTTCTTCTCAATCATTCATTAAAAACCATCTCTGATCTTAAACTCATGAGCATTTGAACCATTGCACTTCATTATATATTTTTCATGGTTTAATTTGCTTAATATTGATGGTTAATGAATGAGAATATATCTGAACTTGTCAAACTCATCTTATGCATTGATTTCACTCATATTAGACTATTTTAGAGCTGTGGGATCTCTCATTCAAGACCCAACATGTTTCAATGGTTTATACTTTTTTGGCCTAGATTGGGAAACCAAACTCATTACTTGGGATCTCAATCTAAGGCTGGATTTAACAAGTGATTTCAAGTGTTTTTCAAGGAATTAACTATTTGACAGGAAGGAGATACAGAAGAGTTGTTGTAACCAACCAAAAACACCATACTTATGGCGGTTTAAAGGAGGTTTCAAAGGAGATTCATACAGAACCACAAAGAACACGGCGGTCACCACCCAGGAATGATAAAGGGGGATTATAGAATCAATTCGGTCAAAGAAAATCTCAATTGGCCCGAGTGGATTTGAAGAAATTCAATCCGGCATTTCTCTCGGCCATGCGCACAAGGAGAACCAACTCGGCCAACTCCTAAACGGCGTGACCAAAGTCCACCAAACTTCACAGGCGACCATAAAATCACATTTTGGTCGGCAAATCCAAAAGATAGGACGGAGAAATCATCACGGATCATGAGATAGACGACGGAGCCATTCTGGCCGATGGCGCGCAAGCAATATGGCCGACAAAACCAAATCACGGCATAGGCGCGCCAACCGGTTGGAAAACTCTTCTTTGAGCTTAACTAACACTTTTATGCAGGAAGAAACGAAAAGGAACGAGCCAAACTTCAATGGCCAAGGAAACTCCTTCCCGGAGCCGACTTGACCATTTTGTGAAGGAAGTCTCAATCCGCTCGTACAAATGCTCCCAAACTTCACCAGAGGCTATAAAATACCAGGTTGGTCGATGAAATTTCAATATAGGTCATGAAATTTTTGACGGTTTGTTCTGTAGTTCACAGCACCACATTTTGGCCGACCGAATATACCAATCTCGGCCAAAACACAAACCGGCGGAAACCAAGGCCTGAAATTCAAAAACTCACCGACCAATATTGCCTAAAGAAGTGTAGAATGACCCAAACCGGAACTGATCTTCATTATAAATTGGTCGACATTTGGTAACATCATCCTAAACCTTTTTCTTTTCAATTTTTCATTTGAACTTCATGTTATGCCTCTCTTAATCCGATTTATTTCACCGGGACGGTGCAAGTTAAGTCTGGGGGGATTACTAACAATGTTTGTTCATTTTGGCATTTTCATTTGCATTTTTTCCCTTTTATCGAGTCGTTTTTATTGAGTCAAAATTTTTGTCGAGAATCATGACCTTATCTTGGATCTAACCATGGTTGTACTAATGTTTAAGTGACCATTGAGCAGTTCTTGGCAATACATCTTACCACAGGTGCACTATGAGTTGATCGATCTACCAAAAACGCCTACATCTCTAAAGACTTGAGAAGGATCCATCTTTGACTCCGCCCTTAATGAACTTAATCTTCTCAGCTAGGGGCTTGGCATACAAATGGCATGATTCCTCATCCTCTCCATCAAATGAAAAAGTCTTAGTGAGTTCGTGCTTCCCTCTCTCTCCCCTTCAAATTTAAAAGAAAAAGCGTAAGGTCCAAGTAACCGGGGATTCGGTGGCAAACACCATCAATACTCGCGTCTATGGAAGGCCTATGAATCCAAGCAACCGGGGATTCGGTGGCAAACACCATCAATACTCGCGTCTGTGGAAGATCCAAGCAAAACCTCTATAATAAAGAGAAGGAGTTGAATAAAAAAATACTTCGCTACCCTAAAAAAGGGATGAATCAACTCAAGAAGTGAGAAGAGAGAGAGGAGAAACATGGAGTAAAAAGACAAGTGCCAAACAAGGGGATGAGTAAAGAATCTAAAAGCCGGCTGATCGATACTCCCTAGTTGAGACCACACCTTTAGAAATGAAAGGAGTCAAGGGTGGCGAATTGGATTGTCCAAGGAGAGGTGGACCGCTTTGGGAAAATCGCAAAACTCATGGTATGTACTTTGTTCTTAATTCAAAATTTGCCAATGCTGTTTCATGTGGATTACTAAAGCATAAGTCAATTTGGATTTCCAAAAGATTTGAGAGTTCTCACGTTTTCAAACCTCTTTTCCTGCTTAGTTTGCTTGGGGACAAGCAAAAGGCTAAGTCTGGGGGAGTTGATATCACCATATTTTACATGATTTTACTATATATTTTATGTTTTCAAACGGTTTCAAGATTCTTTGCCTTTAGAGGTAGTTTTCTTGTATTTGTGGTTTGAAGTCTTAGGGAAACTATCAAAAAGGATGCAAAAAGGAGCAAAAGAGCCTCAAACCAAGATCCATGCAAGTTTCCAAGTCAAGAGATCATTTTATCTCCAAGTGTTAGTTCTCGCTAGCGCGCAGAACGAAGCTTCGGAAGTTTGGCCGCGCGGAGGAGTTCCCGACGTCCAAAAGTCACGATCTTGATATGGAAAGATAGATACTTGAGTCATGCATCACGTCGAAGTGGAATGAAGCCATTTGGATCAACCATAGGCCGGAACTTATTTTCTACCGAGACATGTCCGGTAAGCGAGCAAACGAAGCCCATGGAGGATTTGGAGTGTCTAATGGCCCGAGCAGCAGCGCCAAAGGCCTTGATGAATAAGAGAAGAGGCCTGGCTAATGTTTGGAGCTTTCCTTGGTACAATGTCGGCCCATACACGACGTGGAGAAGAAGGCGCTCATGGGAAACTTTCCTTTTCCGGCACTTCAATACCCTAACCGACCTACAACCTATATATGCAAGTTTTTAGCCTCTGGAGAAAGGAGAAGCGTGTGCGCCGTCAGAGAGAAGAGAGAGCCGTCCTGGAGAGCAGAAGAGAGCAGAGAGAAGAGGCGTTTCTCAAGATCAAAGACACACACACACACAAACCTTTACACTTTGTTCTTTCTTTTTCTCTTACTTTGTTATTTCGGATTTGAAGAGTTTCAAGGGAGATTTCGACTTGTTCTTCAATAGAGAAGCTTTCTTCATCCCTTATCTCTTTTAATACTCACATAATGCTTTCATACATCTCTTGCTTGTTTGTTTGCATCATGGCTGAGTAGTCCTATTGTTGGGTTCAAGAGTTTTCAAGGGATTCATGGATTGATCACTAGGTTGTTAGATTCGGGATTATTGATTGAGTTCCTCATCTTGATTTGTGCTTAATGCTTATAGCTTTGACTGAACGTCCTGCTACTGCCCTAGAGTTGATTTACTTTCCGAAAGCTTGATAAATCACTTGAAATAATCTTGATGAACAAATCACCATAACCTGCGGGAGTAGAATTATGATGCTTTGTGGAACATATTGAATTTGAATTATTTGTGCTTGTTTAACCACTTGATTACCTATGGGAGTAGAGTGATCTTAGGTTGTTTAGACATTTTAATTGACATTGCGGGAGTAAGTTGATTATCCATTCATAATTCAAGTTCTTGATCATATCTATTGATTCCTTGTTTAACTATCCAAATAAACCAATCCTTGATGACCTATGAATTCTCTTGTGCCCAATGCTTTCCCTATTGATTTGATTGCTTGTTTCACTTGATTTCAAGCTCACTCATTGTTATTTTCGTCACTGTTCACGGCCCTAAAACCAAACCCCCATATTTTAGTTTTAGCTAAGTTTTAATCTCATAAGCTCATAGTGCAACTTTTCTGGTCCTTGTGTTCGATAACCCATACTACCAACGATCCGTGCACTTGCGGTATCTACTAATAGTTGGGTAAAACTTATCCCACATCATGTGATCGCGGAATCAAGGCTGAAGAGGGGATGACAGGATGTTTAATGTTTTATTGTTTTGCTTTATTTGACTTGCTAGTACCTGGTGTTTAGGTTGCTAGTATTTCCTTTAATTATTTATTTGAATTTATTTGTTGAACCTGATTTATTATTTATTTATTTATTTAAAGACTTCCGCTGAATTGTTATTTAATTTAATTATAAAAAAAAAAAAAAAAAATGTTGGTTGTTTCATTTTAGTTGTAACATCCGTAGCCTTCTCTGTGAGTTTTGGAAGTTGCGTCGGGCGATTGCGTCGGGCGACGCAAGAGTGTGCGTCGGTCGACGCAAGGATTTCAAAATCAGACCCGGTTTGATTTAAGTGGTCCGGTTTAGCTGGTTTTGGGCAGAAAAGCCCTAGAACTCGAATTAAAAGGTGCAGCCGCCTCCTTTTTGCACAGTTTTCGAGGCAGAGAGTTCTGGAGAGGAGAAGAGGCGATTTTGTGGAGGAAATCCGAGTTTTAGTGGCAGATCGAAGTGCCGTTCGTTGTTCCTTGCTGTTTCCATCGTTTTTCTCCTTTCAAATCCGTTTTCAAGGTGAGTGCATGACTGTAGGTCCGCAAATCACTAGATCTGGATTGATTGAATGTTGTTCTTGAGGTGTTCTTATGATATAAGGTTTATGTGATGATGTTTGGTTGATTCTGTGTTAATTTGGTGTTTCTGCGTGTTTTGTTGATATCTTTGTCGACCTGACGGACATGCGTCGGGCGACGCAAAGCTTGCGTCGGTCGACGCAGCCGGTTCTGTCTGGTTCAATTGGAAATTGATTTCTGGTTCAAATTAAGTGATTTCTGGTTAAAATCTGGTTAAATGGTTTAATTCGAATTTAATTAATTAAATGATATTTAATTGATTAAGAGGCTTAAAATAATTATTTAAATTATTTTAAAATATGGAAAATTATTATTTAATTATGAGAATTATTTAATAATTGAGAAATGGTTTTAATTATTAATAATTATTTAATAATTGGAAAATGGTATTTAATAATTATTGGAGTTTATAAATATTATTAAATATCTAGTAAATTGCGTAATTGGCCTGTAGGCAGAGTGATTGCCTCACTAAGTATTTATTAAATACTTACGCAACTCCATTCCAATGTGTTGCAGGTAAAAGATTTGTGTGATCGCGGAATCAAGGCTGAAGAGGGGGATGATAGGATGTTTATGTTTTATTGTTTTGCATTATTTGACTTGCTAGTACCTGGTGTTTAGGTTGCTAGTATTTCTTTAATTATTTATTTGAATTTATTTGTTGAACCTGATTTATTATTTATTTATTTATTTAAAGACTTCCGCTGAATTGTTATTTAATTTAATTATAAAAAAAAAAAAATGTTGGTTGTTTCATTTTGGTATCAGAGCCAAACCCAGACGAGAGTGTGGAGTCAAGTTGAAGTGGCCTTGACTCACACCGTCAGGGGTGACGATCCAGGTGCGCAACGAGGACGTTGTGTGCAGTTAATGGGGGTGAGTTGTAACATCCCGGTTTGTGATAAATGAGGAGAGGCTTAAGAGAATTGATTTGGCTACCTATGTCAACAAAGTGCACTTACCTTTTCGGTCAAAGGTCTATAAGTAACTCCAGAGTTAAGCGTGCTTGGGCTGGAGTAGTTGAAGGATGGGTGACCTTCCGGGAAGTGGTTTCCGAAACCGTGTGAGTGAGGCCAAAACACGGGAAAGGTCGAGTGTTGATTGCAGGGATAGTAAACAAGTCATTAGAGCCTCTCAAAAATAACGGACAGGCCGTCGGACAGGGGTGAGGCCCGCGGGCCGAGATGGGCCTGCGGGTCCAGAGAGAGGGCGTGGGTGACTCACCGGGAGGGGCGGTCGGGGCGTTATAACCGCAATAGTTCAAATCCTTACAAATAGAAAACATGAGCAAGAGAAGAAACTTAAAACAAAACATACATTGGTGCCGTGAACGATATTGAGAACTCCATCAGGTCAATCCAGCTTCCATTGCCAACTCAGCAAGCATTACAGAAGCACCTGGTGAAAGCAAGTACTGTCAGCCGGTTTCACAAATAGCATACAACATCAACAGAAGGAACTTTGATTGCGATAGTTAATCAACAGTCAACCAATAACATTTTTTAAAATGTGATAGATCTAAGAGCAATCAGCTCATCACATTGGCCTAGATAGTAAGAGTATGCAAACTGGCATCAATGATATGTAAAGCCATGATCCAAAGTTTTATACATTGAACTTCCGATATATCAACTAAACATCACAGGAGCGTCCATTATTTACTGAGAAACTTACCAGGATCCTTCTCTGATGGCTTCAGAACAAAGGTATTACCACATGTCACAGCAACGGGAAACATCTGCACTAACAAACACAGAATAAGTACTCAAGACTTCACAGAGGAGAAAAAATAAGAATTACGGATATACATATGTAATACATGTTGAACGTAAACATGAAGCCATATAAGAACTAATGTAAAAAGGCTTAAGCATGTTACCCATAAAGGAATCATAGCTGGGAAGTTGAAGGGACAAACACCAATTGGCTCCCTAACACTATATGTATCGACTCCATTCGACACATTAGGCACATATTCACCCATCTGTAGTGTCGCCATTCCACATACATGCTCCACAACCTCTGTGTGATAGAACAAGTACCCAAAAAAACAATAGGGTAAGGTTCTTCTCTCCTTGTCAATCATCTAATCAAATCTGCAAATGAAAGCTAACCTAGTCCATGGAAGATATCACCATGGCATCTTTCAAGGTCTTCCCTTGCTCAGTCGTAATGTTCATAGCAAGTTTTTCCTGCACAAAGATCAAAACTTTCAGTCAAAATATGTCAAGAGCAAAACGAACTGAAACCAAGTAGCTCTTTGTTACCATATTTTTGTGTATAAGCTCTTGAAACTTCAGCATAACGCGCTGCCGAGTAGTAATTAGTGTGTTTCTTTGTCCATGAAGGAAACGCTTGCTTCGCAGCCGATACTACCGCCTTAAACTCATCGCTTGTTGTTAATGGAACTTGAGAAACAACCTCTTGCGCTCCCTATAGCAAAAAACAAAATCAATTTGTAATAAAACCATCTCAAATTCGAAAATATGATATGAACAAATGAAAAGTAACTTAATTTAGAAAATGAAAAGTACATGTAGAAAATGAAAAGTAACTTAATGTAGGAAATGAAGAGTCTCAATTCTAGACCGTCGGATTATGTCCATTGGTTTTTAATCCAACGGTGGTGATCCAATTTGATTGAAAGAGTCTCATCGTCTCTCAACCAAATTCTTTCTCTCTTCTTCCTCGAACCCTTCTCTACGAAACCACAGAAATCGACCCAGAGACCAGATCCTCATCCGACTCTGTTGGCGATTAAAACAGAGACGGTGGGAGTCTGGATGGATACCAATGCTGAAGGAGTAGTGGAGACGGCTCAGTTCGAATCAGCGTATTTCTCACCGGTGGCTCATCGGGGAGAGGAATTGAGACGCGGGAGATTGTTTTAAGTGCTGTAAGGGATCACGCGAGGGCGGAGATATGTGGATGGCGGCAGTGGGAGCGCCTGCGTAGCTGCAACATTATTCGGCGGAGACGACAACGGTGGTGGTGAGTGGAGGAGTCGGCATCGGCTGCGAGGCGACGGAGAGTTGAGTGGGTGAGGCGGCGTGAAGAGTTAACTTTGGGTTTTTTTTGCAAAAACGTAATTGTATAAAGACTGAGAGACAATTTTCTTTTTTAAAATTATATAAAATGCTGCCATATGTCTTTTTTTTTAAAGAAAATATTTGACAGATGTCACTCAATTGGAGATTGATATCCTCTCGTTATATATAAGATTGTGTTTACAATTACTAGTAATTTTAATGAAGATATTATGCATATACTAGGTAAATACCCGCGCTTCGCTGCGGGATAATTTTTTCACAAAAAGATAACCTATTATTTACATCAGCAGTAAGAGAGAGGTGATTCACATGTTTGGATGCCAGAGAGAGAGAGATGGTACTCATGTTGTTGTAATAAGATAATGGCCATAAATTCCCTCGTCTTCTTCATTTCCTCTATGTGAGCTGCAGGTTGTCTTGCTTTCATGGTGTTACACACCACTTATTCGTTTCTTATTGCCACCAGCAGTCACCTGACCTCCACAGCTCTCGATTGCTTCCACCTCATACAAACAATATTTTTCTTGCCGTCGTCATTCAACTAACATATTCTTTAGCAGGACTCTTGCAAAATGATTGCTCGTTGATATGCAGCTTGATGATGAGGAGTCACTAAAAATGTATTATATGATGTTCGCTGCCTTTAGAAGAGATTAGTAATCACATTACCTTTTCAAAGAGACCAAGACAATCTGTGTTATCCTCAAAATCAACCCTTGTTCAGTCAATGTCATCCTGGAAGAGCAGGAAGAAATATTAAGCCCTTAGAATTAGAGCCAGACAGAAAACTGAGTCATTTCATTGTCTGTCATGTGAATGGTCGACATAAATACTACACGAACCCATAGCAGAAAGTGGTAACTTTACCTCCTGCTCCAGCTTGAATAGATGACGATTAAAGTGTTTCTGCAATCTCTCATTTGCATAATTTATACAAAACTGCTGAAAACTATTCGAAGAAGTATACATTGAATGATTCGAAGCCATAGATATCAAGAATGCTGATGAATGATTCAAAGCCATAGATACTTACTTTTCTTCTCTAGATCAGTCACATATTATTTCTTCCTCTCCCTTGATCTTACCGCAGCATCTCTGTTTCTTACTTGCCTGAACAATCACATTACATCACTCTCATTATGAATCAACTCTTCAATCTCGAAACATATCTATCTACTTTAACATTTGTTTTCACTTCTCAAGGTTGTTTCAAGTTTTATGAAATAGCGCAATACAACTTTCAACAAACAATGTTCCTTGCCAAATCTATTTCTTACTCACCCGAACTATCACATCATTCATTCATTATAATAAAATCTTGAATCTCACATAAAACCTTATCTGCTATAAACTACTTTAACATGTGTTCTCAAAGCATAACACAATTTTAACAATAAGCAACCATGTTCTTTTGCAATTCTATTTCTTAACAATCACAGCAATCATTATTAACTCTGAATCTCACACATACGTATCTACTTCAACATTTCTTCTCAAGGCATGAACAATCTATAAGCAACAAAAATCAATATATATATATATTACACATATGACACATGTAATAGAATCAGATATACCTTCTTTTCTTGGCCGTAACATCATCGTCTCCATCAATCTCACTCTCCACCTTAGCTCCATCTTGATTCTCACTTCCAAAATCAGTTAACGCATCCGACTTCTTCTCAACTAAGGAATCGGCCTTCTCCTTCCCGGAATCATCGGAGCTTTCGAGCTCCTTTCCAATCGAAAATTTAGAACGCTAATTGGTAACTTAATTGTGCGGAAAGATGCTCGACAACAACGGGATCCTTGAAAATCGAAGATAGAACACGGTTCCGACAAATGAATCTCTTCCTCCAATCTAAATATGCGATTGAAAGAACGGCGGTGGAGAGAAAAAAGCAAGAAAGCTTCAAAACTCACTCATCCTTGTTTAAGATGAACACAGGTCCCGACATCAACTCATATCCGAATCAACAGATCCATAACCTATGTCTTTAACTCGAAAAATCCCGGACAGAGATCCAATTTAAGAAAACGATATGTGGAGAAGAAAATTTTCGATTCTCTTTCTCAATCGCCAAAGGAAAGAAACTGAGAAGAAGATGAAGGGAAGAAACAATTTAAAATCGGTTTACGTTTTCTTCTCCTCATTGAAACTTAACCGGTCAGAGTAGCAGAAAATCATTAAACGAAAACCGGACAAAAACGTGGCAAATAAACCAAGAAAATTTGCTGATATTATTTAAAATGTTTCTATTGGCTGGGCGTTTTAAATGATGTATCAACTCCAGAAAGCTTAAAAAAGCTGATGTATCATCACCTAAAGAGGCACATAAACTTTGCTGTGTTGATTTAAATTGTCCACCGTGTATATATATATGTATATTGTCAAGATTAATATGTTTAAAATTATTATATGTTGATAAATCTAAACAATCCACTCAAATAACAGTATTTTAAAATAATATTTTTGATTCCAAAAAGTTAACTATCTAAAACGCTTCATTTTCCAGCGTTACAACGCATCAACAATTTTGGCAGTTACACAATTTGTACCACACGTGTGCCACCTCTCTTTTCTTCAGTTGATTGGCGTTGGCTCCGCTGCGTTACGCTTGAGGAGTTTCATGTATTCTCAGTGTTTTAATCTTAACCTCTTTGGATTGATGTCTCAAATGCTACAATGACATAAGTAGTGGATTTGAGTAATTGGTAGCAAAAAAGCCACAACTATCAATGTACAAAACCCAACAGAAACTCTCGTTACAACTGAACAAAAACAAAGATTCCATTAGGTCGTTTGAACAAATATTCTTTTCGAGATGCTTGCTGTAAATAAAGAAACTTTCGTCTGAATTATTCGTTCGAAAAAGAGAGGAGTAAATATAATTTACTTTTGTCCTTATTCTTCAAATAAGATTTGTGGATTTTGTTGAAGTAATTTCAATTCTGCTTTGTTGCGAAGAGGAGGTGAGAGAAACAGAAAATTGTAGCACGGTTTCCTTTCAACCTATTTTCTCGCCATATATAGCACAAATCAGAGAAGAAATAGAACATGAAAAACAAAAGAGTGAAACTAAGGTCAAATAAAATATACACAATATATAAATGAAAAGACATCATGATTAAAGGTTGCAAATGTTCGTCAAATTAGGTGGTTATCAGCGAAACACAACTCTTTAAATGAACAATTACACGTTAAACGGTTTAAAATGAAAATGTATAAACATGAAAAGTATTTATTCAGATTACTATTAACAATTTAATATAATATAAATAAATGATTTAATTTCCAAAGAAAATCTGTTTAAATATATGTTTAAACATAAATTTAATTTACCAGGTAATAAACATAAAATTTTAGATACCACATGATAAAAAAAACTTGTTTGAGAGACTTTTGAAGAAACATTTTTAGTAACTATAATAAATGTATTAATTTCATCTCATCTAAAACATTGATGTGGCAAATCCGTTAAGTATGGTTTGAATGCGATAATCCGTTTATACGTGTTATATGTTTATTTTAACTCATTCATTTAATCCATCCATTAGAAAAGGTTTGAAAAGATTTACTTTTACTCTTGTGTATATATTTATATAAACTCAATAATGAGAAATTTTATAAAATACACCTCTTGAGGTGCAAATTTTCAAAACTACACCTATAGTGTGGATATTTTCAAAAATACACGTTTTCCTAATTTTAACATATATATTTGGGTTCAATAATCCTAGATTATGGTTTAGATTTTGGGGTTTAGGGTTTAGATTTAAAGGTTCAATGTTAGATTTTAGGGTTTAGAGTTCTTTTACTCAATGAAAAAAGTGTAGTTTTGAAAATGGACATCATAGAGGTGTATTTTTGAAAATTGGCACCTTAAGAGGTGTAGTTTTGAAATTTCCCCCTCAATAATTGAAGATTGAAGATTGTCTAATATTTTTTTTTCATTTTCATTCATTTATTTCATCTTTCAAGATTGACTCCTTTACCTCCATCCTATATTGTACTATACTTTTCATTTTTCTTTGTTCACATGTAACACATTGTGTTGCATATTGATTGTCAACATATTTTTAAACTATTTGATTTTTATTTCTTTAATCTTTATACATCATTGTTGTCAAAAAAAAATCTTAATACATTTTTTTTTTCTTTGATTACCAGTATATACTTGACTTCAAAGTTTTTAAAAATATTCAGTTGATAATTTATAAATAAAATATGTTAATTATGAATCAAATACGTTCTAAAATTTGTATGTATTTTATCTTGAAAAAAAAGTATTTTTATTTATGCTAAAAACTTGTTAGAATTTTGCATATACCTAATAAATAACTTATAAATTTCTAATATATTTATCTAATCGTTAATTATTATTTTTAGTTTATATTTACTTGTGCTATATCTTTATTTATGTTTCTTTTCAATGTTTTTTGGTAAATCATAGATTTATTTTAGTAAAAACATAATAATATAAGGATGTGTAAATTAATTGATACATTAAATTTAATTTAAGTGTCTTTAAATTCTTTTTTTCTGATGTGGACATTCTTAGAGGAGAGAGAAACTCCCTAATTATATATAAGATATATAGATTAAGGGCTTAAATCCTCTTGTAAATCCTCTTGAGCCTTAGGCTTTTATTTTAATTTTAATGAAGCGATGTTCAAAAAAAAAATTGAATGAATATAAACACATACTAAACAAAAGAGACTTGTTATAATCAAATAAAACGATTACAAAAAAATATCTAAGAGAAAAGAATAAGCAAGCTCAAAATAATAGTTACATGTGGGGAAAGCGGCCAATCCGTGCCTGAACTATTTTCAGAGGTTCCAATCCGTGCCCGAACTTTCAAGGTGTGTCAATCCATTCCCCAACTATAATAAACCATCCGATACGTACCCCAACTCTTTCTCGCCTGGCCATAACCAACATTGACCATCACCCCGTTAGTCAACTACGCGAATCCGTTAACGGTGCTGAGTCATCTTGCCACGTCAGCTGCCCCGTTGGAACGGGATATCAAAACGATGTCGTTTTTCTCTAAACGCCACCCAAAATTCAATTTCTGAAAACGACGTCGTTTTGGATTGAAATGAAACCAAAACATAAAACCGAGCTTGGTTTGATTCATCTCGGCAAAATCGATTTAAAAACCGAATTGGGGAAAAATCGTTCTAGATTCAAATATCATTAATAAGCCGTTTAGCATAAAATAAAAGATTGTCAAAGCAAAGATAACACAAACCGTGTTACATAAGTCTGAAACAAAAACAATAAAACTTAACGTTTTATGTCTTAAATAAGCCGAAATAACAAGAAAACCTATAAATTCACTTCACTCCATTTCACAGCCACCTCCAACAACAAAACCAATTCTCAATCTCATGTCCACCTGCAACAACAAAGCCAATTGTCATTCTCTTAAAACAAAGCCAATTGTCATTCTCGATCAATGTTTTCATTCCTTCATCCAACATGATAAAACCACAATTCTCACTCTAACTAAAACCAATGTTCTCATTCGTCGATGACAGAACCACAATTCTCAATCACCTAAAACCAAGATTCTCTTTCCTTTATAACATAAGAGGACCAATGTCCTCACTCTTTTAAGACTCCTAAAACAAAATTTCTCAGTCATAGACCATTTACATATAAACAGCGACATACCTGTCCCATTCTCCAAATTCAGGAGTAGAAGTCTGAGTTGGCTGACTAGGACCTGCAAGATCTTGAGACTCAACCACCTCGGTTACTGTCTTCTTCTTCTTGGGTTTACGCCCTTTCTTTCCAACAGGTCTTGGATCTTCCATACCATCAGCCAATTTGGATTTTTTTGGCGGCCTAGGTTTAAATGGTACACCCGAATTAGGACACTTGTAAGCGTTGTGGTCAGCCAAACCGCAGCGGTAACAATGCATATCTCTACCATGGTTTGTGGCCTTTTTTCCCTTTTTTGGTGACTCATTAACACCTTTGATCCGTTTCTGTGGATTTTTTTTCCGACCCTTTTGTACCTCTGTATCTGGTGCCTCAAGCGTTGTTTCTCCACTTGTTCTCCAAAATTTCATCCCATTGACCGGTCCAATAGAATCGATATATTGATCCTGCCACTTAGTAGTCAAATACCAATCAGAAACCAAGTCCTCTTTCTTGTATGTTTTCGGGTTGTCAAACACAACGCGTAACGCGTGACGGCATGGAATCCCTGTCAGATCCCATTTCCTACATCTGCATGTCTTCTCCTTCATATTAACCTTGTGTGATTGACCGTTATCCATAACTTCAAACAGACCAGGGCGTGAAGCGATTGTCCTCAAGTGTTTAACCGCTTTTTCTTCTTCTGCGATCACTAGAGCAACCTTTAGAGAGTGTGTGGCCTTATGCTTCTGCGTCATTTTCCTTCTCATCGCTATCCTCATCATAGTTTGCCTCCTCATGGTTTCCAAACTCTGAATCAATGGCATTGCTCTCGCCTTTTCAAGTGTATTGTTGTAACTCTCTGAGAAGTTATTAAGTGCATCTTCACAGCATGAATCGGTCTTGAAGAAAGCCCGGCTACAGTTTCTTGGATTTCTACTCATGAAGGCCTCATAGATATCACTATCATATTTCTTCAGTTGCGCCAGATTTATTTCATAATCTTCCTCATTGAAACTATCAACCACACGCCAAAACTTGGTCTTCAACTGCGGCTTCCTAGGATGATCCTTCCTTATATTACCATAAATATGTCTTGCACACATACGGTGCTCAATCTCTGGTAATTCTTGGTTCACAGCAAAGAGTAGTCCCTGAAAAAAAGTAAATTTAAAAAATCATAATCACAACATTTCATAACAAAAAAAAAACAAAAACGTAATCACTACTACACATACCTTTTGCCTATCAGAAATGACAGTGAATCCTTCACCATTTCCAAGGCCTAAGTCGTTTTTCAAGTGACGAATGAACCACAACCAACTCTCGCTGTTCTCCACTTGCACAACTGCCCAAGCGAAAGGGTAGATCTGATTGTTTGCATCTCTCCCAACGGCTGCCAAGAGCTGTCCTTTGGAATTGGACTTGAGAAAACAGCCATCTATTCCGAAGATTGGTCGGCAATGGCCTTTCCATGTATCACGCAGCCCAGAAAAACACATGTAAAAACTGTCAAAAACTTCTACCCCAACCGCATTAATCTCAGTTCTAACCTCCACTGTCGAGTGTGGGTTTCTCCTGAGACATTTAGATAAAATGTCACACAAACAAGCAATAAAAAAGAAAAGAAACCAACAATGAATTTAAATACTTACGCTTTAAGTTCATCTCTGTAATCTTTCATCCTTGAATATTGTTCTTTGAATTCTTCTTCAATAAGCTCCAATGCTTTTTTCTTCGCTTTACGGCATTGATTATGTGAAGGAGCCACATCGTAACGGTCATGGATTCTCTGCTGCATAATGACTGGTTTGAGTAGAGGATCATTTCTCAGTTCATGGATGAACATGTCACATATCACTTGTTGTGACAAGATTTTGCATCGACCATCTTTGAAACAGGTATGGTTCTCTTGAAACGTCTTTATCATCCACATAGCAATTGAATCCTCATAAGAACAGTAGACTCTCCAACTGCACTTCTCAATACCACACAATGCCTCAGACTTCACAGCTCCCCACCTATTAAACCGTATATTCCAACCTCCTTTCAATGCGTACTCAATCACAGCTTCTCTAAACTCTTTCACGCTTTCAAACACTTGCTTAATCTTGAGTTCTCCACTTCCTCTTACCCACCTATCATAAGGACACCTCTGGATTTTTCTTCCTTCGTTGTCTGATGTAGTAGGAGTTCGTTGGTAGTCATCATTCTCCTCCTCTTCAAAAAACTTAGCCACTACTTCTTCAACCTGAGCTTCTTCTTCACACATCTCGTATACCTCTCGTCCATCTTCTCTGTCTTGATCTCTTCCATCATCAGTATTATTATCTCTTCCATCTTCATTATTATCATCTCTTCCTCTTTGCTCAACCTGATCAGCGCCTCTTTCCATATTTTGATCGTCATTTCTTCCTTCCTCATTACCGTGATCCCCTTCACAATCTTCATCTTTCTCCATATAAATCTCAATCATCCTAGTCCACTTAGCTGCTTCACACATCCTCTCGAAATTCTCAGTACCCTCACACAATATCCTAAGCTCTTTCAAATCTTCAAATGGTAATTTGTACCAAATTCTTTGTCCATACAAACTAACCGGCAATCCCTGAAACAATGATCTTGGCTGTGTAAGGAGCTCATGCCCAGATCCACCATTGTAAACAAGTGTGTCATCCGACATATTTGTAAACTTCCCACCGTAATAGATGGTGAATGAGACATCATCACTACAACAAATTAAAGAATTCAAAATCGTTAATATATTATAGCTTTCAGACGAATTTTATATTGCAAAGTGTGTAAATAATTCTAAATCAATATTAAATTCAAACCCAGTTTTCTAAAAACCCTAAAAATTCTACATACCTCATTTTTCCAGAAATTGCTTCGCTCAGCACAAATAGTATGCAATCTTCTTCAATTAGTGACAGAAACCGGAGAATCTTATGCAGAGAAGAAACAGATTTCAGTACGAAATCAACCTACTTTGTTTTCTCTCTCGAACTCCAAAACGGCACTCGACAAAGAAGAATGAAGAGCCTATGAAACAAAACGACGCCATTTTAAGTTTTGGTTTCTTTTCAATCCAAACGACGTCGTTTCAATTAATAAAATTGATTTGAGTAAACCGGTATTTAACCGCTGACAAACCGAAATTCAGAGCAGTACCAGAAATTGAATTTCGGGTGGCGTTTAGGGAAAAACGACATCGTTTTGATATCCCGTTCCAACGGGGCAGCTGACGTGGCAAGATGACTCAGCACCGTTAACGAATTCGCGTAGTTGACTAACGGGGTGATGGTCAATGTTGGTTATGGCCAGGCGAGAAAGAGTTGGGGTACGTATCGGATGGTTTATAATAGTTGGGGAATGGATTGGCACACCTTGAAAGTTCGGGCACGGATTGGAACCTCTGAAAATAGTTCAGGCACGAATTGGCAGCTTTCCCGTTACATGTGTTTTACGAGTTTCTTGTGTCAAACTTGAAGAAAGAATAAAATTATATTTGACCTGACATCAACACATCATGCTCCTTTTTTATAGATGAACCTTCTCTGGATAACTTGTCATGTGCAGTTGTGAATCCTGGTATTTTCGAACCTGATCATACTAAAAACTATTCTTATTTGACTTGTTCCGACTGTCTTGAGGATCTGGTCTTTCATCGGGCTAGAGCTTGACTTTGCTACTACTGGAAATAGCTTGGATATGGCTTAACTGGATTTAGACGATGATACTTAATGGGTTTGAAGTTATCATTTTAACTTATATGGATTCATTTTAAATTTTGGATCAAAACATTGGACATTTGTGAACTGGATTTCAGGGGTTTAAATTTCAGGGGTGAAATCCAGGTTTAACAGCTTCTGTCTTCAAATTTTATCGATAAAGATAGTATATACGAATTTTAACATTATAAAAACATGTAAATATTTATATTAAAGCTTTGATTTATGACATGTGGTATCACAATTGAGTTTAAAAAAAAAAATGAGTTTGATGTAAAAATTATGTGGCACGTTTGATGTGGAATTAACAAAAAAAAAAGATAAATAAGAATAAATAATAATTAAAAAACGTGGAAAGAATATATATAAAAAAAACTGCTAAATCAAACTTTACTAGGATGATTGGTAACATGTGGTATAATATGGTAAGTTTGATTAATGGTAATAACTCCAAAATGTTACCAATCATCATTTATTTTTAATTTTCTTGCAGTTAAAATGTGGTATGGTTGAATTAGATCGACGATCCCAAGTTCTTTTACTCCATTCAGAAAGTCTTTTCCGCCGGACGGGGGTCTATGGTTAACCGATATAGCACATCATCATTTAGCTATCGCAATTCTTTTCTTTTTGATGTATTTCTTTTGTAAATTAGATAACTCAACTCAAATTTCTACTATATGAAAAATGACATGTAGTAAAGTTTGATTTAGTAGATTTTCTTTTTTCATTTCTTCTTTCCACGTTTTTAACAATTGTTTTTTTTGTTTTTTTTTTAATTCCACAGCAAAATTAACACATAATTTTTACATCAAATTTACCATTTATTTTAACTCAATTGTAATACCACATATCACCAATCAAAGCCGTATGCATGCCATTTTCATGTTGTAAAAATTTGAGTTAAGTTATCTAATTTACAAAAGAGATACATCAAAATTTTAACTCAACATACCACACATTTTTTCCACGTTTTGATGTATCTCTTTTGTAAATTAGATAACTTAACTCAATTTTTTACAACCATACTACATTTTTACTGCAAACAAATAAAAATAAATCATGATCTATATATATAAAACACAGTTGGGGTCTCTTATGAGAGCGCCACGTCAGCAAACTCTCTTTTAAACAATACTCTTCCAATTCTCTTTTAAGACTAATAATTTATTACATCTATCACTTAATTATTATAGAATTTGAAAAGTCATTTTGTATAAGAAAATAGTTTATATATTGATCTAAATAAATTCTAATTTAATAATTTTAGTTTTATCAAATAGATTTAATAGTTTAATAATAATAATAATAATAAATAAATAAATAAACGGAATGACGCAAAACTGATAACGAGACGAGAAGAAACAAGACGAGTCATATTTGAAAGAAAATGAATGGGACGAGGCAAAACGGGATAGAAAAGAAAGGGACAGGGTGGAACAAGACAGGAAGAAACAAGATAAGGCAGAATGGAAAGAAATGAACGAGACAAGGCAAAACGGAATGTGAATGAATAGGACGGGGAGGAATGAGACGGAAAGGAAATGTACATGATTAGGAAAAATGAGATGAGAATATGAGACGGTGCAAAATGGAACAAGACGGAACAAGAAGGAAATAAACAGGACGGGACATAACGAGACCAAAATTATACCCGACAAGGCATAACGAGACGGGAAGAATGGGATGAGAAAGAATGGGATGGGGCAATACGAGACGGGGAAAAAACAGAACGAGGCTGAACGGGACGAGGCAAAACGGTATGTGAATGAATAGGACGGGGAGGAACGAGTGATATACCCATATCTTTCATGTTTTTATCAAGGTTTTCACTATGTTTTTAATACAAATAATGTGGTTTTTATGCCCAAGAGGTAGTTTTCTTGTATATTCTGGTTTTGAGCATCATTCAGGTCAAAATAGCAAAGAAGAGTCAAAATGGAGCAAAAAGAGTCAAATCACCAAGTTCCCAAGTCTAGAGCACCAAATCTACATTTCTCGCTAAAGACCAAACCGGAGCATCCGAAGTACGACCGCATATTCATGCCTTCCCGACGTCCAAAAGTCATGTTTCTTATATGGAAAGATAGATATTTGAGTCATGACCCGCGGCGAAGTGGAAAGAGGTCATTTGGATCACTCGTTGGACCGGAACTTATTTTCTACCAAGACATGTCCGACGAGCGCCTAAGTAGAGCCCATGGAGACTTTGATGGATCAAGAGGCCCGAGATACCGCGCCCAAGGCCTTGGCTCATCTTGACACTAGCATAACTCAATCCAGAAGCTTCCATTGGCCTGAACGCGGCCCATTCAAGAACTTGGAGAGCAAGCTCAAGCGGCTAAAGAGAAATGGAAACTTTCCTCTTCTGCGCGCGCTCAACTTTGCCGACCTAGACCCGCTCTCTACCTATATATACTTGCTTTTAGCCTCTTGTAATAAGAATCACCAGCCGCATAACAAGAAACACTTATTCAATAAAGTTCGGAGCCACTTAGGTGGTCTCCTTCTTCTTTCTTTTCTTCTTTTGCATTTGTATATAGCTTGCATGTTTCAATTTATATAGTCTAGAAGTAGAGATTTCTCCCTAAGGGTGAGGCGTGGTTTAGTCATATTCCGCCGCCTCTCTCTCTAAGGATTCATGAGACTTCATCTACTATCTAAGACTCATTGTTGAATTATGGATCCTTCCAATGAGGACGTGATATAATGGCCATCTTGAATCGATTGTTAAAAGGGGAAACCCTATGGTTCTCCATCTTTATTTATGCTTAATGCTTGTTGCTAGAGTAGCTAACTAGTGACTTGATTTTAGGTTGATATACTCTCCAAAAGCTTGTTATATCTCCGGACACAATATTTGATGGGCAAATCGTTTTAGGCTACGAAAGTAGACCTAAAGAGTTTTGTGAACAATCATTACTTGGATGTAATGCATGTCTCACTCTACAATGACCAACGAAAGCTGAGCCCATTGGTTTAAGAGACATAGGGGATTGGAACCACGAAAGTGGAATAATCCTTCCTTAGTGTTTTGAGTTCAAAAGAATCGGATTTTAACAAACTTTTCAATCGACTTGGCTCATGTTTTCAAAAGAGTTTTCAATAGTTCAATAATGTTGCTTGTATAGAATTGCATTGTTATTTCTTTTGCGTGTTCTAAACAAACACAAACCCTTGCATCTTTTGATTTAGCTTAGTCATTTGAAACTCTATGATTATGTAATGTGTGAAATCCAATCCCTTGTGGTTCGACCCCTAAATACTACAATTATATGTTGTGCACTTGCAACACTAGTTGTCTTAGGGAATTATTACTTGTACTCATCCCATAGATGCGCATCAAGTTTTTGGCGCCGTTGCCGGGGATTGCATCATAAACACTTGCATAGTCTTGTTTAAAACTAAGTCTAGATCTTGGTATTTTCGAATACTAACTTTTTTTTTAAATCTTGTGTTTATAGGTACTTGGAGATGAATCACAACACCAACATCCACTTTGGGAACCGGACACTGATCCCACACGATCTCCACGGCCGGAGTTACCAAGACCCAGCCGTAAGCATCGTGCCACATCCGTTCCCTCCCAACCGCGCTCATCCGACGTTTGAAGGACCTAGCCGAGACGAGCATCATTACCATCATCATCAAAACCGACCTCCGGTTTATCATCAACCACCTAGACCAGTGTTGCATTCACACCACGACCATGTTCTCAATAGGCGGAGAGATAGCCATTTCGATGCCGTGCTTGAGGGTTTCATGGAGAGCCAAAGAAAACTAGCCGCGACATTGAGACAAAGCTAGAGTTCACGCGATACGAACTAGATGGAAGACTTGGAGAACTCTCTACCCAAATAGAGAGAGTAGAGTCAAGATGCTTGGACATGGAGGAAGATTTGAAGAAGCAAGGCGAGGCCATTGAAGACAATAGGAGAGCGATACACTTTACCAAAGTTTCTACCAAGGAGATGGACAATCACTTAGATGAGAAGATCTCAAGTCTTGATAACAACCTCGATGGCACCACCAAGAGTCTCAATTCAATAACAGCAGTAGCTCATCAAGCTAAGAGGGAGGTAGCCGAAGTGACCTAAAGGAGAGGCAATGTTACTCGACGATGCTTACATTGGTGGAAGGGCAAAAACAAGTGAAGGCACAAATCCGAGATTTACACATCTCTCTAGACAAGAGGAGCCAAGATATTCAAAGAAGAGCTAGAGGGCTTGAAGACAAAGTAGATGGAGTCTCCAAGGAAGTCAAGGATTTAACCACTCGCTTAGCCAACTTGGAAGAGAAGGTCTTGACCGAGCAAAGACGACCGTTCCTAAGCACAACATGCCGCGCCCGTCTTTACTATAAGAGAGACCGACCCAAGAGTGATTTGGGATGAAGAAGAGAGTAGAGCTGATCAAGAAAGAGCCACAAGGCTAACCACTGGAACAAGAGAGAAGATAGCACCAAAAGGAAGAACCCTTACTCAAAGGTCTTCACAACCGCCTCCCACCAAGGAGAAGAGGAAGACAAGATCATCACTTGAAGAGATCATAGATGATTTCAACTTTATGGCGAGGAGATTCCCTTATGGTGTGCCGTTTGATAATGCTTGCAACAAGAGTCCATTCATGCAAGACCTAGCTTGGACACAAGATTGGAGTCTAGCTGAATTGGAAAAGATGTACGAGGAAGCAAGAAAGGGGATGCCTAAACCTAGGTTTCTACACAAGCTTCATGACCCAGGTTACTTCCTTATACATTTCTCTATCAATGGAAGCTACTTTGATGATGCTCTTTGCGATTCCGGTTCTAGTGTGAACCTTATGCCGGCCGAGATAGCCAAGAAGTTGGGATTGATCAATTCAATTGTGAAATCTCGAATGGATTTAAAGCTAGCTGATTCATCATTGACCGAACCACTTGGAGAGGTTAAAGACATTCAGCTTGATTTTGGAGGCTGCATAGTTCCAGCCAACTTCTATGTAGTAACCATGAAGGATCCGGAGGACTTAAAGCTTTTGCTTGGAAGATCATTCCTAGCCACAGCTGGAGCGATCATGGATTGGCCTAATAGAAGAATCTCTCTAGCCAATGTTGACAAGGACACCTTCTACGATGCTGCACCTCCCGGTTTCTCATCCAAGCGATTTCGCTACACAAGTGGAGGAGAGTGCTCACAAGTAAGAGGAGAGTCGCATGGCTACTTGATCAAGGAAGTTCTACAGGACAAGATGCACTTGGAATCATCAGGCAACAGGAAGTTCTTGGAGCCACCAATCCTACCTAACTAAGAACACAAAGGAGTCGAGCTACAAAGACTTAAAACAAGCGCTTGTGGGAGGCAACCCACATTTTCTTATCCCTTCCTCTTTTTATTTTTGTTTTTATTTTTATAACTACTTATTTGTTCTATTTATAACTCTTAAATTTTTGAGAGTTTAATAAATTTTACAAAAATAAAATAAAAAGTGTTTTAGGAAAAAGTACCAAAAAGGAGGCTTACATGAAAAATGCATTGGAAAGCTACATAGCCACACTAACCCAAGATTCAACCATCTTTGGTCTAAGTGTAAGCATTGAGTCTAGTTTGAGTCCCACCCAAGTCCCACCCATGTTTCAAGAAGCAAAGAAGTCCAAGAAGGGCCGCGGCACAACAAAATCCGGCCATTGGAACACTATTGCACAAGGCAAAGGTAAGTATCACTTCCATTCTTACTGTCATTTCTTTTAAACACTATTTCTATCAAATTAAACCACTACACACTACTTGGATTTCTGATCAAGATCACAAGTACATATGGTTTCACGATCAAGTCTTTGATTGGGAAGTTCAAACNACATTCCATTCTTACTGTCATTTCTTTTAAACACTATTTCTATCAAATTAAACCATACAACTACTTGGATTTCTGATCAAGATCACAAGTACATATGGTTTCACGATCAAGTCTTTGATTGGGAAGTTCAAACTATTTTGAACAACTCAATCATTGACAGAGTTTAACAAAGAGTTACTAGTGTTTTTCAGATAAAAATGACAGGAGAACCGGTTCAAAATATCAAACAAACATGGCGCGCAAGGAGCCACAACCGGCCAAAGGAGGATTTACATGCCAAACATGAGAGATGAGGGAAATCCAACCACAATTCAATCCAGGAGGGATAGAAAAACAGTTCGGTCGAAGCAGAACTCAATTGGCCCGAGTAAATAAGGAGATATCAACATCACAACCACTCTCTCGGCCAGAATCGACGAACCAAGCGACAATGCTCGACCATCTCCCAAACGGCACGACCGAAGTCCACCAAACTTCACAGGCGACCTCAAAACATCATTTTGGTCGGCAAATCCAAAAGATAGGACGAGAAAAGTGCCTGCTACGTGAGATAGACGAAGGAAGCTCAATACGGCCGACGGCGATGCATAGAATGGCCGACGAACTCAAAACCTCAAGAAGGCGCGAACACCGGTGGAAACTGATCCTCTGGAGTCCAAAAAACACCAAGGAAGAAAGGAAGGAGACGATCGAACAGATAAAGATGGCCAAAGGAATCACATCCCGAAGCCATTGGCGCGCACACGAAAGATCTCCGAATCCACACGTTCAAATCGCCTCAAACTTCACAAGGAGCCACAAAACATAAGGTTGGTCGATGAAATTCATTTCAGTACAATGAATTCCTTACAATTCAAGAGATGGCCGATGGAGTGAAATTTGGCCGATCGCGAGCAAGTAAAATGGCCGACAATCCAAATCACGGCATTTACCGCGGCCACCGGCTCAAATCACCTCCATCAAGCATCCACATCGCATCTAAAGAAGAAAATCCAGATTGGAACGAGCAGAATTGGAGAAGCCGAAGGAAGACGTTCCCGGAGCCAATTTGAAAATTTTCAAAGGAGATCTCAAACCACTCGTTCAAACGACCCCAAACTTCACCAGTCGCCATATTATACAATATTGGTCGACGAAATTTCAAGATAGGTCGAGGAAATCTTCACGGTTCGAGCTGTAGTCCATACCATCACCATCCGGTCGACCAAAACGGACCAGTCTCGGCCAAAAAGGCGAAAAACAGAAAACCAAGGGAGAATTGTCACATTCATCCAACCAAATCCAACAGCTATGATGTTTGCACCAGTCAGTTCATTCCTGGAAGCAACTCAAGCACAACCGATCTTCACATCAAAGGCCAAAAATTTGGGTACAATTTTCTACAAACTCTAACTTTTCCATTCTATTTATCATTACCTCTCTTAATTGGATTTTTCTTACACCGAGACGGTGCAAGTTAAGTCTGGGGGGATTACTAACAAGTTTGTTCTTTTTGAATTTCATTGAGTCGTTTTATTGAGTCAAAATTTTGTCAAAGGATTATGACCTTATCTTGGATCTAACCATTGTTGTGCTAACGTTTAAGTGACCATTGAAGCAGTCTTGGCAATACATCTTACCACAGGGACACTATGAGTTGATCGATCTACCAAAAACGCCCACACCTCCAAGGACTTGAGAAGGATCCACTCTTGACTCCGCCCTTAATGAACTTAATCTTCTCAGCTAGGGGCTTGGCATACAAATGGCATGATTCCTCATCCTCTCCATCAAATGAAAAAGTCTTAGTGAGTTCGTGCTTCCCTCTCTCTCCCCTTCAAATTTAAAGAAAAAGCGTAAGGTCCAAGTAACCGGGGATTCGGTGGCAAACACCATCAATACTCGCGTCTATGGAAGGCCTATGAATCCAAGCAACCGGGGATTCGGTGGCAAACACCATCAATACTCGCGTCTGTGGAAGATCCAAGCAAAACCTCTATAATAAAGAGAAGGAGTTGAATAAAAAAATACTTCGCTACCCTAAAAAAGGGATGAATCAACTCAAAGAAGTGAGAAGAGAGAGAGGAGAAACATGGAGTAAAAAGACAAGTGCCAAAACAAGGGGATGAGTAAGAGTCTAAAGCCGGCTGATCGATACTCCCTAGTTGAGACCACACCTTTAGAAATGAAAGGAGTCAAGGAGGGTGAATTGGATTGTCCAAAGAGAGGTGGGCCGCCTTGGAAAAATCGCAAAACTCATGGTATGTACTCTTGTTCTTAATTCAAATATTTGCCTTTACTACTTTCATGTGGATTACTAAAACCAAGCCAACCCGGATTTCCTAATGATTTGAGAGTTCTTGCGTTTTCAAACCTCTCTTCCTCTCTTAGTTTGCTTGGGGACAAGCAAAAGGCTAAGTCTGGGGGAGTTGATATACCCATATCTTTCATGTTTTTATCAAGGTTTTCACTATGTTTTTAATACAAATAATGTGGTTTTTAAGCCCAAGAGGTAGTTTTCTTGTATATTCTGGTTTTGAGCATCATTCAGGTCAAAATAGCAAAGAAGAGTCAAAATGGAGCAAAAAGAGTCAAATCACCAAGTTCCCAAGTCTAGAGCACCAAATCTACATTTCTCGCTAAAGACCAAACCGGAGCATCCGAAGTACGACCGCATATTCATGCCTTCCCGACGTCCAAAAGTCATGATTCTTATATGGAAAGATAGATATTTGAGTCATGACCCGCGGCGAAGTGGAAAGAGGTCATTTGGATCACTCGTTGGACCGGAACTTATTTTCTACCAAGACATGTCCGACGAGCGCCTAAGTAGAGCCCATGGAGACTTTGATGGATCAAGAGGCCCGAGATACCGCGCCCAAGGCCTTGGCTCATCTTGACACTAGCATAACTCAATCCAGAAGCTTCCATTGGCCTGAACGCGGCCCATTCAAGAACTTGGAGAGCAAGCTCAAGCGGCTAAAGAGAAATGGAAACTTTCCTCTTCTGCGCGCGCTCAACTTTGCCGACCTAGACCCGCTCTCTACCTATATATACTTGCTTTTAGCCTCTTGTAATAAGAATCACCAGCCGCATAACAAGAAACACTTATTCAATAAAGTTCGGAGCCACTTAGGTGGTCTCCTTCTTCTTTCTTTTCTTCTTTTGCATTTGTATATAGCTTGCATGTTTCAATTTATATAGTCTAGAAGTAGAGATTTCTCCCTAAGGGTGAGGCGTGGTTTAGTCTATATTCCGCCGCCTCTCTCTCTAAGGATTCATGAGACTTCATCTACTATCTAAGACTCATTGTTGAATTATGGATCCTTCCAATGAGGACGTGATATAATGGCCATCGAATCGATTGTTAAAAGGGGAAACCCTATGGTTCTCCATCTTTATTTATGCTTAATGCTTGTTGCTAGAGTAGCTAACTAGTGACTTGATTTTAGGTTGATATACTCTCCAAAAGCTTGTTATATCTCCGGACACAATATTTGATGGGCAAATCGTTTTAGGCTACGAAAGTAGACCTAAAGAGTTTTGTGAACAATCATTACTTGGATGTAATGCATGTCTCACTCTACAATGACCAACGAAAGCTGAGCCCATTGGTTTAAGAGACATAGGGGATTGGAACCACGAAAGTGGAATAATCCTTCCTTAGTGTTTTGAGTTCAAAAGAATCGGATTTTAACAAACTTTTCAATCGACTTGGCTCATGTTTTCAAAAGAGTTTTCAATAGTTCAATAATGTTGCTTGTATAGAATTGCATTGTTATTTCTTTTGCGTGTTCTAAACAAACACAAACCCTTGCATTTAGCTTAGTCATTTAAACTCTATGATTATGTAATGTGTGAAATCCAATCCCTTGTGGTTCGACCCCTAAATACTACAATTATATGTTGTGCACTTGCAACACTAGTTGTCTTAGGGAATTATTACTTGTACTCATCCCTTAGATGCAGCGCATCGTGCTTCTTCTTGTGATGGCATTACAATAAAAGGGAGGGTGGTTGGGTGTTGGACTCCTCTCTCTCTTGTAATTGGCATGAGATGATCCTTCAAGGGCTTGTAGGCGGTTGTAGATCGATCCAAGATGTTTGCTATTGCCATAGCTAGTATCTTCAATTCTCATGCTCTTGTTCAGCAACTCTTGATATTTGGAAGCAACATCAAGCTTAACTAGGGTCAAAGATCGATCATGATCCTCTCTTAACTTCTTAATGTCTTCATCAAGCTTGATCACTTGCTTGAATAGGACTTCAGATTTGTTTCCAAGGCTCTCATGGATGAAATCGATTCTTCTCTCCATCTTCTTTGTACTCTCTTCTTGATTTCTCAAGTACTCTTGAAGCATATCTTCAATCTTGGTTTGGCGTGCAGCTTGGTAGCTCTCCCTTGGGAAAAGTGGTGTCTTGTTTATGTCTGGTGATGATGGATGGTATTGTGAATAGCTTGGGCGTGGTGGTGGAACATAAACAGGACCTTTGGCAAATCTGTGAGGAAAGCTCCTTTGTATCCATTCCAAGTCTTGAAAGCATGTTGGGCATTGAACTTAGCCCAGTCTTTGGCTTGTCCAGCTAGAGATAGTTGGAAAAGTTGTATCTTCTTGGGGTTGTCTCCAAGTCCATAGTCATGACAAAGTTGCTCAAAGTTGCATAGATGCTCCTTTGCACATTCTGAAATAGAATTGTAGAAAGGATTCCTCTCCACATGCTTGATTAGCTCTTCATTCAGAACTTCAGGATGAGGTGGTATGCCTCCCCATTCTTCTTCATCACGCTCTCTCTCCAGCTGATGAGAGTAGTGGTGGTACTTGGATTTGAAAGGTGGTTCCTTGCAAATCTCCAAGAAAGCTTCTCTGAAATCGATCCATGACTCGATTGTAGAGAGTGGCTCATGCTGCGCCCAATCTAGTGCTGGTCCAGCTAGTGATGTGCTGAATAGCATCATCTTCTTCTCAAAGTCAAAAACTCCATAGGAATCACAAAGGTTGTCAAAGTGATCTATGTGCTCCAGCGCATACTCTGAAAACAGATCATGGAATTGATCTCTCTTCACGAACTCGATCAGCTCAGGGTCAATCTCCTCTTCTGGTGTGGCTAGAAGGTGCTCTTCTTGGTGTGATGCGGCTTGGCTAGACGTCTCCAGGTCGGCTGCTTCAAGGTAAGGAAGAAGTTTCTTCTTTGTCTTCAAAGTGGATGGTCTTGGAGGACTATCCCATGAAGGTGGTGGTGCTTGAGGGCTTGAACATCTCTTGTTCGCTCAAGAGGTGACTTTGAGGTGGTATGTGGCGAATTGGCATCGCCTTTATAGGGGAAGAGGCTTGTGGCTCCTTCTCCATATCTAACTAGGAAAACCTGAAAAGCTAAAAACAAAAAGGAAAAAAAAAAAAAAAAAAATCAAAGAAAAAGGAAAAATAACAAAACTAAAAAGGAAAAGATGAAACCCTAGACTAGCTCTCTTGCAAGAGCTTGTAGGTGCGAATTGGTCCCCGGCAACGGCGCCAAAAACTTGATCGCGGGATCAGGTCTTCCCTTTCCTATCCCTGATTCTGCAAGTGCACAGGTCAGAAGTAGTAAACGGGTATCGAACACAGGACCAGATTGCACACTACAAGTTATGAGTTTGAGAACAAGCTAGGGCAAAAGTATAAGTTGGTTGAGTGCAGAGAAAGTAAAGCATGCAAGTAATAAAAGTGAGATTCAATAGGAGAGAAAGGCTAAGCAATAGGATAGTCTTGAGATAAGCAATTCAAGAAGCATGAAATCAATCAATTAGGGTTACCGCACTTAGGTGCTAATCTAGAACTTGAAACACTATGGTATGATCATTCCACTGTCGAGGCTCCGACCCCTTTGTTAATCTACCTAGTCGCTAAACTTTTGGTATGTCCCTAGGTGATTAAATCAAGCATTAGTTCGATCAAGATCAATTGTTCACAACCTACAAGTAGATCAACTTTCGCAGTCTAAAAGAGATTGCCCACCAAATACTAGTTCAGGCGAATGATACAGCACTGTCGAGGCTCAAATCAACCTAAAGGCATATGCTAATTGGCCAGATTAACAACAAGCATTAAGTATAAGCAAAGATGGAGATTATAAGTAAAACCCTAATTGTGATCAATCATCAAGCATACATGAATGCTATCCTTTGACTTCCTATCACTTAACAAGTAAACTACTCAGACATAGAGAAGGAAACGAATTCATATTCATAAGAACAGAGATTCGAATCCTCTCTAGAAAGAGTAACAAGCAAGAACAAAGTAAAAGCAAGCAAAACTTTATTAAGATGTAAAATAGATTGTGGTCTCTCTCCTTCTTGAGTTACAAGGCTAAAAAGAAGTATTTATAATGCTCTAAGTATGAAAGGCGGCTAAACCTAATCTAGCTAGGTCGGCGCCGGCTTTGGGCTTGAATTGTGCGGATTGGGCTTCAAAAACGGCTTCGGGTCGACCGCGGCGTTCGGACGGTCGTCGGGACGGTCGGCCGGACAGTCGGGTCTTTGGCCGAGTCGGAACGGTCGGGGCCGGATGATTTCGGTCGGCCGGCTTGGTCGACGGGTGAAATTTGGCCGATGGTTTCTCGGCCGGACGTGGGACGTTTTCCCGGCTCGGACGGATGCATCGGCCGTGGTACGCGAGTGAGTTGCGCGGCCGCGAGGCGTTCTCCCGGCTCGCGCGCTTGGTCGTGCGCGGCGTGGCGTGGCGTTGTGGCTTGGCCGACCGCGGGACAATGTTTCCCGGGTCGTGATTGCGTGATCGGCCGAGGTTTGGACTTTGGCCGAGACATCAGTCGGACGGATACGGTTTTGGCCGAGCGCGGAACATTCGTTCCTCGGCCAGCCGGTCTGCGCGTTCGGACGCTGATTCTCGATATAGCCGTCTGGAGCAGCCTTCACTCTTTTGGCTATAACTCCTTTTCTACTCATCCAAATGAAGCCATTCCAGTTGCGTTGGAAAGTTAACTCAATCAGAGCACGCAGGGAACTGGTCTTGATGAAATCCATTGAGTAGATCTTTTTCTAGCTCCATCCAAAGTTGATGCAGGGGCATTGAACTGGTTTAGAGTCCAAATCTCTGTTTTGCTCCATAATGCACCTTTTTACCTAAAATGACTCTTTGCACTATAAATCCATAAAAACTACCTTTTAACACAAGAATCCACTAGAAAACCATTAGAAAACCATAGTAAAATAGCATAAAAAGTAGGTAAAATAGAGATATATCATAAGCCTCCTTTTTGGTACTTTTTCCTAAAACAAGTTTTATTTTATTTTTGTAAAATTTATTAAACTCTCAAAAATTTAAGAGTTTATAAATAGAACAAAATAAGTAGTTTAAAAATAAAAACAAAAATAAAAAGAGGAAGGGATAAGAAAATGTGGGTTGCCTCCCACAAGCGCTTGTTTTAAGTCTTTGTAGCTCGACTCCTTTGTGTTCTTAGTTAGGTAGGATTGGTGGCTCCAAGAATTTCCTGTTGCCTGATGATTCCAAGTGCATCTTGTCCTGTAGAACTTCCTTGATCAAGTAGCCATGCGACTCTCCTCTTACTTGTGAGCACTCTCCTCCACTTGTGTAGCGAAATCGCTTGGATGAGAAACCGGGAGGTGCAGCATCGTAGAAGGTGTCCTTGTCAACATTGGCTAGAGAGATTCTTCTATTAGGCCAATCCATGATCGCTCCAGCTGTGGCTAGGAATGATCTTCCAAGCAAAAGCTTTAAGTCCTCCGGATCCTTCATGGTTACTACATAGAAGTTGGCTGGAACTATGCAGCCTCCAAAATCAAGCTGAATGTCTTTAAATCCATTCGAGATTTCACAATTGAATTGATCAATCCCAACTTCTTGGCTATCTCGGCCGGCATAAGGTTCACACTAGAACCGGAATCGCAAAGAGCATCATCAAAGTAGCTTCCATTGATAGAGAAATGTATAAGGAAGTAACCTGGGTCATGAAGCTTGTGTAGAAACCTAGGTTTAGGCATTCCCTTTCTTGCTTCCTCATACATCTTTTCCATTTCAGCTAGACTCCAATCTTGTGTCCAAGCTAGGTCTTGCATGAATGGACTCTTGTTGCAAGCATTATCAAACGGCACACCATAAGGGAATCTCCTTGCCATAAAGTTGAAATCATCTATGGTATCCTCAAGTGATGGCCTTGTCTTCCTTTTCTCTTTTGGGAAGGGTGGCTGCGAAGACCTTTGTACAAGAGCTCTTCCTCTTGGTGTCATCTTCTCATTGGTCAACCTTGTGGCTCTTTCTTGATCAGCTCCTCTCTCTTCTTCATCCCAAATCACTCTTGGGTCGGTCTCTCTTATAGTAAAGACGGCGCGGCATGGTTGTGCTTAGGACGGTTGCTTAGCTCGGTCAAGACCTTCTCTTCCAAGTTGGCTAAGCGAGTGGTTAAATCCTTGACTTCCTTGGAGACTCCATCTACTTTGTCTTCAAGCCCTCTAGCTCTTCTTTGAATATCTTGGCTCTCTTGTCTAGAGAGATGTGTAAATCTCGGATTTGTGCCTTCACTTGTTTTTGCCCTTCCACCAATGTAAGCATCGTCGAGTAACATTGCCTCTCTTTTAGGGTCACTTCGGCTACCTCCCTCTTAGCTTGATGAGCTACTGCTGTTATTGAATTGAGACTCTTGGTGGTGCCATCGAGGTTGTTATCAAGACTTGTGATCTTCTCATCTAAGTGATTGTCCATCTCCTTGGTGGAAACTTTGGTAAAGTGTATCGCTCTCCTACTGTCTTCAATGGCCTCGCCTTGCTTCTTCAAATCTTCCTCCATGTCCAAGCATCTTGACTCTACTCTCTCTATTTGGGTAGAGAGTTCTCCAAGTCTTCCATCTAGTTCGTATCGCGTGAACTCTAGCTTTGTCTCAATGTCGCGGCTAGTTTTTCTTTGGCTCTCCATGAAACCCTCAAGCACGGCATCGAAATGGCTATCTCTCCGCCTATTGAGAACATGGTCGTGGTGTGAATGCAACACTGGTCTAGGTGGTTGATGATAAACCGGAGGTCGGTTTTGATGATGATGGTAATGATGCTCGTCTCGGCTAGGTCCTTCAAACGTCGGATGAGCGCGGTTGGGAGGGAACGGATATGGCACGATGTTCGGCTGGGTCTTGGTAACTCCGGCCGTGGAGATCGTGTGGGATCAGTGTCCGGTTCCCAAAGTGGATGTTGGTGTTGTGATTCATCTCCAAGTACCTATAAACACAAGATTTAAAAGAAAAAGTTAGTATTCGAAAATACCAAGATCTAGACTTAGTTTTAAACAAGACTATGCAAGTGTTTATGATGCAATCCCCGGCAACGGCGCCAAAAACTTGATGCGGCATCTATGGGATGAGTACAAGTAATAATTCCCTAAGACAACTAGTGTTGCAAGTGCACAACATATAATTGTAGTATTTAGGGGTCGAACCACAAGGGATTGGATTTCACACATTACATAATCATAGAGTTTAAATGATCTAAGCTAAATCAAACGATGCAAGGGTTTGTGTTTGTTGAGAACACGCAAAAGAAATAACAATGCAATTCTATACAAGCAACATTATTGAACTATTGAAAACTCTTTTGAAAACATGAGCCAAGTCGATTGAAAAGTTTGTTAAAATCCGATTCTTTTGAACTCAAAACACTAAGGAAGGATTATTCCACTTTCGTGGTTCCAATCCCCTATGTCTCTTAAACCAATGGGCTCAGCTTTCGTTGGTCATTGTAGAGTGAGACATGCATTACATCCAAGTAATGATTGTTCACAAAACTCTTTAGGTCTACTTTCGTAGCCTAAAACGATTTGCCCATCAAATATATATCCGGAGATATAACAAGCTTTTGGAGAGTATATCAACCTAAAATCAAGTCACTAGTTAGCTACTCTAGCAACAAGCATTAAGCATAAATAAAGATGGAGAACCATAGGGTTTCCCCTTTTAACAATCGATTTTCGATGGCCATTATATCACGTCCTCATTGGAAGGATCCATAATTCAACAATGAGTCATAGATAGTAGATGAAGTCTCATGAATCCTTAGAGAGAGAGGCGGCGGATATGACTAAACCGCCTCACCCTTAGGGAGAAATCTCTACTTCTAGACTATATAAATTAAAACATGCAAGCTATATACAAATGCAAAAGAAGAAAAGAAAGAAGAAGGAGACCACCTAAGTGGCTCCGAACTTTATTGAATAAGTGTTTCTTGTTATGCGGCTGGTGATTCTTATTACAAGAGGCTAAAAGCAAGTATATATAGGTAGAGAGCGGGTCTAGGTCGGCAAAGTTGAGCGCGCGCAGAAGAGGAAAGTTTCCATTTCTCTTTAGCCGCTTGAGCTTGCTCTCCAAGTTCTTGAATGGGCCGCGTTCAGGCCAATGGAAGCTTCTGGATTGAGTTATGCTAGTGTCAAGATGAGCCAAGGCCTTGGGCGCGGTATCTCGGGCCTCTTGATCCATCAAAGTCTCCATGGGCTCTACTTAGGCGCTCGTCGGACATGTCTTGGTAGAAAATAAGTTCCGGTCCAACGAGTGATCCAAATGACCTCTTTCCACTTCGCCGCGGGTCACACTCAAATATCTATCTTTCCATATAAGAATCATGACTTTTGGACGTCGGGAAGGCATGAATATGCGGTCGTACTTCGGATGCTCCGGTTTGGTCTTTAGCGAGAAATGTAGATTTTGGTGCTCTAGACTTGGGAACTTGGTGATTTGACTCTTTTTGCTCCATTTTGACTCTTCTTTGCTATTTTGACCTGAATGATGCTCAAAACCAGAATATACAAGAAAACTACCTCTTGGGCTTAAAAACCACATTATTTGTATTAAAAACATAGTGAAAACCTTGATAAAAACATGAAAGATATGGATATATCAGCAACCTGCTTGATGATAAAGGTTTGTGTGTGGATGTGAAAAGATATGAAATGAGATGAGTGGAATGCAATCAGTGGTATATGATGAGGTGGTAAGATGCAAACACAAACACAGTCAACAATTCCCTTTAACCATGATAGTTGATGTAGTACAAAGGGTTATCAATCCAAAATGGGAAACTTGTCACTCTATGAGAATATGAAACAACCAGAAAGTCAAGCAAGCAGTTAAGATTTGAAGTAACACTAACAACCTAAAAATAATGAAAAGCAGTGCAATAAAAGTAAACAAAGCAGTGAAGTGTCAGCTCGACCAAGAGCTCGAGTCGAGCAGAGCAAAGTACCAGCTCGATCGAGTTTAGGGACGAGTTGAGACAAACAAAGCTAAAGGTGACGACTTTAACAAGATAAAGAGAGAATTAGGGTTCAAGACAGGGTTTTGCAATCAAAGGAATCTACACTTAATCAATCTAGCTCTTAAAACTCCTTGTATCAAGGCTTCTCTTGATATTGGGCTTCTCAATGCCTAGCCAACCCTTTCCCAAGGTGAGGCTATCAACCAAGGAATGATCTCAGAAACAGGGGGTTAGCCAGTGAGAATCAAACCTTGGAGGCTATAGGATCATTGCCCAAACTAATCCATCCAACCCCTTAGACCTCTATGTCTAGAGCAAGAGATATTGGAGCTCTTAGTGGATCTTTTCCAGCGAATGCCATCACTTTCGTGTGGGGAGTCGCCTAAGGACTTACAAGCCAGGGGTAGTGGTCATGTAGCCTTAAGATCTATCCAAAAGAGAGAGAATCTAGATTAAGACCATAAGCTAGAAGGATTAAGCATATGAAACCTCTAATCTATCCCATCTCAAACCCTAATGGGTAACTACTCACTACACATGAATGTAAACACAAGCAAATGCAATAAAAGAGACATCATAAGAAAGAGGAGATGAAATAAACAACTTTTATTGAAATAAGCAAGTGCAAATACAAAGAGATTATCCAGGATCTAGGATTCAAGAAGCAAGAGCTTCAAGAACACAAAGATGGGATTAGATCTCTAAAAAGTAAAGACAATAAATTAAAAGAAACTAAAACAAAATAATAAAGCTTGGTGGTTTTTTCGTGGCTTAGAGCCTTTAAATACAAGAGGATTTAGGTTTAGGGTCAAAGGAAAGTCAAGGGGGAAGCAACATTTTTCGGGTTTGACTTTGACTTCCAGCTCGATCGAGTTGAAGCTTGGCCGGTCGAGTTGAGGAACTCGACCGGTTGGTCGAGTAGGACGGTCGAGCTGGTCTTCAAGATGGCTTCTCCCTTCTTCCTTTGCGTATCCAGTTGAGCTGCTTCCATGTGCCAAGTCCCTCCATGCTCCTTGTGTCCCATATGCTCCAGAATGCTCCAAAAGACCTATTTCAAAGGACCAAACATGCATATGTATGCAAATGCAACCTAAAACTAACATGAATGCATAAGAAGAGAAAAGGAACAAGATATGATGCAAATGGAAGCTAAAACTATGCAAAAGATGCATAAAAGATGTGCTAAAACTATGTAAAATGCAAGTACATCACTGCTCTGATACCATATTAATGTGATGAGAGCTTATGATGGAAGAATTATTATTTACTCTCATGATTACAATGGTTACAATAGTTGCCTTTATATAGAAGACTCAATTAACCTAATCATCTAAGGTGAGAGAATCATATATTCATAATATTAACATTAATAACATGGATCTTCTAGATCATTCTACATCATTGACGTGTTTAAACGAGATCCCTGATCGATATTGTATACTAAGCTTTGGTTTATTTTTAGATATATGATTTATTAAAAAAAAATCAAAGTTAGTATTAGGCATGTGCAGGACCGGAATTGATGAGAATGGAATAGGAATGGGAAATTTGGGAAACCAAATATGTTACCCGAAGTATTCCTTTATTATAATTGGACGGAGAATAACGGGAATAGGAAGGGAACAGAAAATTTGGGAATAAAAAGTTAATATCCAAAGTCTTAATAAATCGAGAAAATTGAAGATATTTCGGAAAATTACAAGAAAATATGGAGAAGATACATGAAATTTATAAATTAGGGAAAATATAGGAAAATACGAAGAATTTTGGAAAAATATGAGAAAAATTGGGATATTTAAGAAAAGTATATAATTTTCATTTAAAAAAACCCGAAAAGATCGGGAAATCCTGTATCTTTCCTGAACCGTTCTCTTATTCGTTTGAATAAATAATGTTTCTAAACGGGAAATTGCAAATTTCCATTCCCAAAAAGTTTGGGAAATTTTAAACGTTAAGGGTGATTCCATCCGGAAATGCACATGGCTAGTTACTATACTGATTCTTGGTTATTTTATTCATGATCGATTCTAATGCGAAAATAAATCGAGCTCTATTCCATGATCATGTCTACTACAGTCGTATTCCTCGAGTCCAATATTTTAAAGATTTTTTTTGTCAAGATTTTCATGTTTGTTTTCAGGACCAGTTTTGATTTTGTGTGGAAATAATGCAGGATACCTATAGCATATATGAGTTTCTATGATATATATATATATATATATATATATATATTTTTTTTTTTTTATATATTTTTTTTGTGAATTGTCAACTTCGCCTCTATTACAATTTATTTTGGATTTTGAATCCGGTTTAGCGTTGTGATGGTTATTTTTTTTGTTTTTGACAA